GTCCACCGACTTCGCGACCGAGCACCCACAGGGTTTGCGCGCCGCCTGCAGCGAGCTCGGGGTAGGTGGCATTCTTGCGGCGCAGAGCGGTGCGCAGAACTGCCCCATGTTGTGCGGCCGCGCCGGGGTGAGGCTCGCCATCGCGCGTGGCGCGAGCGGGAGTGGAAGCCGGAGCCTGCGACGTAACACGATCTGCCGATCTGCATGGTTTCGGGCGTGAGCGACGTGTGGGGATCGCTGGGGCCGCTGGGGGTGGCTTGCAGCCATGCGCCGGCATGCGGACCGGCCTAGGAACGCAAGAGCACGCGATGAGGAGGTGGCAGAGAAGGCAGCAGCACGTGGTCGCGGAAGAAGAGGTTCCGTGTACGCGACGCAGAGTGTTGCCACATGCTGGTCCACGCGCGTCAGCGAGGCAGCGGATGGCCCGGTCCGTAAAGGCCGGGCACCATTCGCGGAGCACTGTGAGGGCATCCGCCCAAGCCGCCGGCTTGCGACAGTTCCAAACCTCCCAGGCTGGCAGGGAGCAAAACGCTGTTCTTTGCCGTGCACGACTCGTCCCCAGCGGTGGCGCCCAGACAAGCCTGGGCTGGAACTGCAACACCTCTGGCGGGATGGCCTCGCGCGGCTGTGGCGGCCGTTTAGCTGGGTCGGTCAGCGCAGCCCGGGTCGCCTCATCGCCAGGACAAGCTCGGCGGCAGTGAGCACTTGGCGGGCGCGTGAAAGCTCGCCTCCGCGTGCACGCGCGCAGTCCGCTTCTCTGCGGCGCTCGGCAGCAGCTTCCGTATCGAGGTCGGTCGCTGGCCTGAGCGGAGCGCGTGTGCATGGCGCGTGCGGCCGCAAGGAGCGCGGGCCAGAGCCCGTGTTCGTAATGTTTCAGTCGCATCAAAAGGATGCGGCGTCCATCACCACCCTGCTCGGCCGGCCGCGCGAGGAGCATGCGGGGCGTCAGCAAGAACAGCTTCCACGCGCGTGCTCGGATGCTATCATCGGGCGGTCCACTGTAGGCATCCCGGAGGTGTTGGAGGCTGCATGCGAGCGCCCGGCGCACGCCAGCTCGCACGCCAGCTCGCACGCCAGCTCGCACAAACAGGGTATACTGACTGCAGCGTCGGGACGGGATGGCGGAACTCGTCAATGAGGTCGACGTCGTCTAGCGTGCTCAGGGTGGGAGGCTTCGGATGGCTGCATGGGAGTGAAGACGCCGGGCACTCGGGCACCTGCGAAGCTAGGGAATCAGGCAAGTCATCGGCCTGCCGGGCTCGCGGTATGGAAATGCATCCGCTAGGGTCGCAGCGGAAGAGTCCCCTCACCTTCGGCTTCCGCCAACACGTGGAGCAGGGCACCAAGCCAATCGACCTGCAACGGCTGGGAACTGGCGAGGGCACGCACCAGTTTGGACCAGCGCTCGCCACAATGCGGGTGTTGGCTCCAGGCTGATGCCGCTTCGGAGGACAGCGTGCCCGCAGCTGCATGCAGCAAGGGAACATACAACCACGAGTTTCTGTAGCGTGCCTTCAGGCCGAGGAGGGTCCTCACTGGCAGAAGAATAGCGCGGCGACTCCCGGCGTCGTGTGGTGAGGCAACGTGGGGGGTGCGTCCCGTGCGGGGTGCTAGGGTGGCTCCGCAGGCTCCGTGGACAGTGCAAACACGCTGCATTGCTTTTTAGGTCCGCGCCAAGAAGCTTGTTGGGAGGTGTCTGGACATCAAAAACACGGAATGCTGTCAGTAGGTCGCCCTGCAGAAAATCACCGGCCTCGCAATGCGGCCGCGATCGCATGAGCGGCCGCTTGGGCGGCCGAGCGCACCAACTCCATGTCCACTGCTGAGTTGCCACCAGTGCTGTTGCCACGTCCCTTGTTCTTGCCCTTGCCCTTGCCTTTGCCACCGTCGCCAGGCGTGCTGCAAGGGCTGCGGCTTCGGCTACGGTTACCTTCGCGGTGTCCCCGAGCAGGTGGGTCACCATGTGCCATAGCTTCAAGGGCATCCGCCACGCCCTGGAGCAAGGAGCTCGCTGCGCTGTTGTACCATGGCGGCAGCGCGCGCCCTTGCACCGGCGGAACTGCGCGCAGATGTCGCAAAGCCCATCCTCTTTCCGGGATGGGTCCCGAAGGCGGCATATGCGACAAGGGGCCATGGCGGATCAAGCGGGGCTCCAGGTGGCTTGCACTGGCCGGACTGCAGAAACAGTTGCGGTGGAGAAGGAAACATGGTGCACATCCGCAATGTAGCTATGGCAGGACCTATTCCCACACAAAGGCTCTGAGACGCACACTACCGCAAGGCTCCGCGCACACGTGCGGGTGTGTGGCCGTCCTGTTCCTTTGCTCCCTCGTGGCAGGAGGGGGCAACCTTAGCGGAACGGTGGTGCTCACGAACGTCGCGGTGCGGCGCGATGGCGCGTGCTGCGCGTGTCACTGGGACACCCTGACAGACGGCTGCAGGGGCCCGCGGCCTGGGCAGGTTGCCGGCGCGTGTGGCCCGAAGAACGGGTAGCGTGCGTGCCAGCTGGTGGGAGCGGGCGCGCACGGCTCAGTGGGGCGCGGGGGGCTTGCGACCCCGTGGCTTGTTGAAGCAGGGTGCAATCAAGGTCGGTGGGGGATTGCCCGAGCGAGGCCGCAAGTTCAACTAGTTCCCGCTCGCCACCGACCGCCAAGCACTCCAGGAGCTCCGACGCAGCCTCCATCCACGCAGGCGAGCGCGCGGCGCGTGCCCGAGTACGGCTCCAAAGCAGCTCGACTAGCAAGGCCCCAAGCAGCAGCCCAAAGCACAGCCAGCCCCAGCACGTTGAACAAGGCCCCCAGCCAGACGGGAAGTAGCGCAGCGCACCGACGACACAGGTCAGCGCCGGGTGCACGGCGGCTTCGCGACAGGCCGTGGGCAACAGAGCGAGCGTGGGGCCAGTCGCGCGGGCGGAGCCGAACCCTCATCGCAGGGCGGCCGCAAGAAGGGTCGCCCCCGAAGGCCATCTGGCAGAGCAACGGAGCAAGGGCACGGGAGAGCTGGAGCCAGTGCTTGAGCTCGAGGTTTCCCACTCGGTGATTCTGCCTGTCGTGTCAAGTTGTCCGTTTACGGTTGAGCACCTTCCACCCAGTGTGTTTCAACATTCAATCAGGGCTGCTTACGCGACATGACGGTTGCACTATATAATGTATGTATAAAATATTCAAGTGTATTTATGTATAGTGTATTTATGTGTATTTGTATGTACGTGTTCATACATGCATACATGCATGTACGTATGTACGTACTTACATAAATACCTAGGTAGGCATGTAGGCATGAATGCATTCATGCATGCATGCATGCATGCATGTGTGTGTGTAGCAACCTTGCAGGCGGAAAAGAGGCGTTTTTTGTTTTTTTTCGTGCACCTTGTTGCGGCAGCAGTGTGCGAAACGTATCAGTGTGAGCTGCGTGCTACAACTGCCTCCGCCGTCGGGGCCCGACGCAGTCGGCATCAGGCCGTCAGCGCGCCACAGCGAGGAGTTCGTGCAGCTCCGGTTCCGGCCCGGGGGCGACTCATGCAAGCAAGGGGGAACGGCCAGGGCGCGCTGCGGCGACAGCGTGCTAAACCTGCCGCCAACTTGAGTGCCAATGACGACGAGGCGGTATCTCCGGGCACTGCTGCGTTCAGGGTGCGTGCTGTGGCGCTTGCCCCGAGCTGCGGCCTGGACAGCGCAGCCAGGCTGCGTGTCCGCGCGGGGGTGGGCAAACTGGGATCCGGGCCACAGCGGCAAGCCGTTGGCGACGACTTCGATGAGCCGCTCATCGATGGGCGCAGATTCATGTCGGCGATCCGGACGTTGCGTGCGACTCTGGCGCCCGCTTCTCGGCATGCACGGGCAACGGCATGCTCGAGGGGCAGTGCGCGTGTTGCCAGGACTCCGGAGGTGGCGCAAAAATTATCATCGCTCTGCACCTCTTCCTTTGGCAGCTGCTCGGTCTGTGGTGGCGGTGGCGAGCTCGGTCGCGACGCCCGCGTCGATGTGTCGGCCACCGCATGCGCCCGGAGCGGCCTGCTGGCACGACGTGGCAGCTGCGCGCCCCGTATGCGACGTAAGTAACAGTAGTACAGACTTTTCCTGGCGGTCGGGAAAAAGGCGTGCGAAAAACAAAATCATCATGCAGAGCGGTGCCGTTGTGGCAAAGCCTGTGTGTTGGCATTGTTTTCGCACCGAACGTGTTTCAGTATGAAGGTGGCCATGTGGCACAATGAACCACGGTCGCAGTAGTACATGCTGAATCATGCTGATAGGTATAAGTGCCCACGAAGCTTTGCGATTGCGACCACTGGGAGAATAGCCCGCTGCAGCAGATTGATCAATAGGACTTGTTTTTGATGTTGTGCATCCAATCCCGATCATAGATCCGCTCGCTGCAAACACGGAGTTTAGGGCCGATGGCGGTGCATTGCCTGTCATCATTTGGCGTGATGCTGTATAGGCAGGGGTCTGTTGTTGCGTCAACTAGAGTTTTTGTGTTGCACAATCAATTTTGGCGAGGTGACCGGCTCAAGCGGCTATGGGGCATGGGCCCCGGATCAGCGTGGACGAACACGATCCACAAAGCTTTGTGGTCCCCAAGGAAAGATGATGAACCCGCGAAAGCTGGGCACCAAACGCAGCATGACGAGACTTTCATGGCACGGGCACCGACGACAGGGCCTCACGCCACAGCAACACCGACAGTGGGCCTTAGCATTGTCCGTGCCCCAAATTTTCGGATGCAGCGGTCTGTGCCACGGGTTTCAATTGCCACGAGTCAGGTGGAAGCGAATGGACCGGGACAACAACCAGGTGCAGCAACTTCGTCATTGTTTCATGAAGTGACATTCGTTTCAACACAGTCTTTTGATCAAGGGCTGCAGCTGTTGTGGATTATATATGTGATGTTGTATCAGTGGTTGCTTGCACGCGTTGGTAGCAAAGCGTGACCTTGGAACCGGACCAAAAGCGGCAGCGGACCGAAACAGGTGTTAGAACAAAACATTGTATGTTGCCATGGCTTGTTTATTTAGTGCTCGCTTGGGCTGCTGTGGGTGGCGACAAGGTTTGAGGCTGTGCATTGTCAGCCCAGGAGAACAGCGACGGACTTGTGGCAGCGTTACCGACCGTGTGGTTCACCATGCAAAAACTCTGCTATGTGCAGGGGCGAATTCTGGATTGCATGGACCTGCCATTCAGAAGATCATACCCTTTCATTCCGCTGACGCCCAGTTTGTGAGCGCCATTCTAAGCGAACATGAAGTCGTGGCCAACCTGGTGGCCGGCGTCAACGAGGCGTCGATAACAAGTCCAGAAGCGAAGTGCAGGGCACAATCGTATCTGAACGCAATGGAGAGCCAGGACTCAGGCATCGCCAGGTGCCCTTGGATATTTCGTCAGGCTGTGGCCAACTTCGTGACACATCGTGACGACATGGAAACGTCACCTGATTCAATTGTTCTGACTTCTGGTTCTTGGCCAAGTGCAAGGGCCTTGTTGCAAGTGCTGTTACCTTCTCAGGATGATATCGTACTGCTACCAAGTCCTGGCCCCCCAGCCTTTCGGGAAACATCGGCTTCCATGGGCCAGCTCGGAGTGTCTTATTCGGTTGATGACAACGACTGGGACAGGACCTTGTCCGAACTTGGCCAGACGTTGCACGAATTGCGCCAGAAGCAAAGGCATCCTCGAGCTTTGGTTGTGGCGAACCCGAGTCTTGCTGGCCGACGTATCCCCAAAACTGCAATCGATGCATTGCTGGAGCTGGCACACGGGCAAGGCCTTGCCATAATTGCTCAAGAGGACAATCTCGCGACAACGGGGCGAACGAATGTAGTCTCACTTCGGAAGGCAGCAAACGAGATGGGCCTTGCAGTTCCCATGTTCTCATGTTTCTCTGCGTGTGCTTACACAGGACAAGATGCAGGTTACATAGTTTGCGATCTTGTTCCACACGACATGAGTTCCTATTTGCATGTTGTCGCGGACTGTCCAACTATCAAATCTCAAGCCTGGCTGGCAAGCTTGCTTTCGCCCTGGACAAGTCACAAAGGTTGCTTGGACAAGCTTGTCCAGGCTGCAGACAGCAACGCTCAGCTCTTGTCAAAACTTGCCGCGGTCGATGGCATTCGCTGGCCGCTTGTAGAATCGGGCGCATATGCTTTACCCAGAATCACAATTAAAGGTTTCGTGATGAAGAAAGCCATCTCGTTAGCAACGCCGGCCGATCAAATTTATTGCATGGAGATGGTAAGCAGGACTGGCGTCATCACAAGCCCTGGGAGTGGCTTCGGTCAACGTCCGGGTTTCTTTCATTTCCGTATGTCCTTGATGCACAAGGAAGCTACTTTTGTTGCAGCCTTAGAGCTCATAAGACAGTTTCATGGAGAGCATCCGGCTGGCTGGTTTCGGTGATGAAAGCAACTCCGCTTGATTGCAAGAAGCGTTGTCCCAAGCCAGGGTTGCTGAGCTTTTGGGAGAGTTTGTTGGAGCTTTGAACCCATGGTGTCAAACTTTCGTGTGCAGTGTAGACAGCATGTGGGTTCCACAAACAAACGTTTCTGCGTGTCAACAAAGTATGGGATTGGGATGTTTCCATCGAGTGGCGACTGCTACTGCTGGTGCGCGCCGTGAGTTGTCTTTCGGTTTCGTGTCCCAGGAGATGACACTGGATGAATTGAATTGCTCGGAGTTCCTTGAAGCACGGCCCTCAGCAGGCGCAGATGGTGGGTGTGACGACCATGCCTCTTGTTGGACAATCGTGAAGCCCAAGGCGCTCCGGACTATTTTGACACCCGCCATGGCTTCCAAGTCGGCATTAGTCTCGGCATGGAACGAGAAGCCGTCATTTCGCTGCTTGGCCGTACTGCTGCGAACAGGTGGGCAGTTATGCACGAGCAGAAATCAATCTGACGCAGGCGGCAAAAACGGATGTCGAACCTCGTTTTACAGCATGTGCTTCGCTTCCCTTGTTGCAATTGCGATTGAGTGGAAATTCTCAAGTTATGCCCCATTGTTGCATGGAAGGTTTTGCACCATTGTCTCAAGTTGGCAGACACCAATCGGGATGGAACTCTGAGTTTTCAGGTTCGCTCCCAATGTCATTAGCTGCCATATTCCAGATGCCTTGATCACATGGCAGGAGTTTGAACGCTTCTTGAAGAATTTGCGCAAGCCGAAGCATCCAACGGACGACACGTTTGTGCAAGTTAGTTTACGAATTCCGTAACAGAGACAGACACAACTGCAGTTCTACGTCCAGGAACTGGCCTTGCTCTACATGAACATGTTCGACGCAGATCCGGACTCCTGATTTGGTTGCAAGTTTTTGGGAGCCTTGCGATAAGCACAGTCTTGTGAGGATGCTTACATCGCCGAGAACGAGTTCCGGGACCCCCGAGCCTTTCGAAAGCGTCTCTCCCTGTCTCGTCCTCTGCACACTTGCAGAGTCTCCCTCCTGTTGTGTAAAGTGCGCAAATTCCTCTCACCGACATCCGTCCACCGACACAACCGCAAACTCCAGGCCCGACCCGGGTGTCAGCGGTGAAGAGTTGTGGATGTTGGTGGTTTGAGATGTAGCATTCCGGTGCAAGATTAGATGGATTTTGAATTTGGGTTTGGGGTTACAGAGGTCCGCTCAATGAGTTCACCAGCAGGACATGCCCACTGCAGTTTCGTACGCTTATGCAGCTTGCCAACAGCGAACAGCCACGTTCCCTTGGAGAGATTCTCAAGGAAGCATACAAGTAGAAGCACTGACCTCCTGAATTGAGGACATGTGGCGTGCAAGTCTGAGCATGGAATGGTCCAATGATTCCGCACAGCATTGGCTTTCTGTTATTGACCGAGTGGCACCGAGGCTATTTTATGGGCCGCAATCCAAGATCGGACGAGTTTCAATTTCATTGGTCCCGGATGGATACAGCCCGCCGGGTTCTCGTTTTCTCGTTGGAGTGATTGTAGGATTCTGGCAGTTTTTTTTCACTGCTCCTTGCAGGAGCTGGCAGGATATCGCAGCGATCCCTGGCAAAATGGTTGGCAAAAACAGCGCCCAAGGACGGGAACAGTTTTGGTGCCAAGACCACTCGATCGACATTGTAGCACACGTCGTCCAGAGGCCTTCACTACCTTGGCGCCTCCCGTGATAGAGCCCGAAGGGACAGGAGCTCAGCAATGCGATGCCAGGCTCTCAAGCACTTGAGCTGGAGCCTCTGAGATGTGAAGGTCGGAAACGGAAGATCCCAGTGCAGGCAGTCCGCTATCGTAGCATTGCTTTCCATGTTGGAACCGTGCTGTTTGTCGGTAAGCTTTGCTTGTATCAAGAGTAGGAGGTCAGAAAGTTCGTAGACTCCTCGTAGACTCAGTATCATCGAAGTAAGATGTTGGTCGCCATCTCTGAGAAGGCAGTTTGCAAGCTACCCGTACCAAGCATGGTGCTTGGCTTCGCAGTTCTTTTTTGGGTTGCATGTGGGTATCACACGAGCGCTGACGAGCATTCTGAGGTCCAAAATCTTCAGGCCAGCTCCCGGACTTTGGCACCAGCCGTAGCTTGGCTGATCTCAGCAATACACCTTAATCCAGCGATTCCGGCTGGGAGCAGGTCCACACCCTGGTCAGAGACCCAGAACGAGCTCCGAGAAGTTTTGGAACTGCCTGGCTTGGCCTTCGGTGCTGCGAGGCAGAGTGCCCATGAATGGAACTCGGTGCCCCAGGCCCTGATGACGGTGCACCGGACGCCAAGTTTAGGGTTTCAGTTTGGAAGGACCCTTGCGACCAGAACATTGCTTGGCGGGGATGTCAGCGCCCGCGCCACGGGCACCGTCTCAACCATCGTCGCTTCAGGGGAGTAGGGGAGTAGGGCCAAAAGCATGGACTGCCATGACCTGCAGCGCTGTGGCTCAGAGTTTGACTTTGTGCTTTTGGCTGTTCCTATTGTCAGCCATGGAATCGAACTCAGCTGTGTGATGTCCAAGCATCGATTTTGATTTCAATTCGTTGCCTGCTGCTCCTGCTCAGGGGCCCGTGAAGTTTGACGACATCCCCAAGACTGAATCCGAGAAATTCACACTTTCGTGAGGAGTCTGTGCGCTCAGAACCTCAACACTGGAGGACTTCCAACGAAGTTCTGAACGACGACTACCAGCAGGGCTACCTCTTCAAGGAGCAGTGATGGAAATGTTTGCGCATGTTTCGTCAGGGACCTGCGAACAGACTTGGGTTCCATGCAGATGGCTGTCGCCAGGCGAAGCAGAAGACGAGCTGGCATGGCTCTGTTGTTACGACAGCCGTGGACATCCTTCCTGGGCAGGACAAGGTATCGGAGCCCAGTCCGTAGTCGTACAGATGGAGGGCGCGAATGCAGGCCCCGATGACGCCGGCAAAAATCACGTGGAGGCTTCCCTCTCCCTTGGGCTGTCCGTTCGTGGTTATCGCCCCGAACTTATTGCACTCAGCCAGCCATCTCAGAAGGCGCGCAAATTGCCCCAGCAAAATCAGGACAAACTGGAGGTGGACAAGAAGGGTGGCGTGAAGTTGGAAGGCTCTACGGAGAAGGTTCCACCACAGGATCTTGCTTTTCCCACCTTTTCGGCTTCATGTTTTGTCTGTGTAAGGCCCTGAAGGGACTGCGAATTGAACTGAAGCCGGAGCTCAGTGACGTGATGAAGACGAAGACAGGCCGTCGGCTTGTCGCCCTGTCGCCCGCTCTCGACCTGGTACCGGCCGGCACCGGCCAGGTCTTATTTACAGCGGCCTCAAGGTCCACGGCATTTTCTGTGCCGAAGTTTGTTGGGAGCTTTGCTGATTTGCCTAATCGCAAGGACGCGCGGTTGGCGCTGGACCTGAAGGGCATCGGTGTTCAAGATGCCGTCGCGGAAGCCACATTCCAGAGTCTTGTCTGTGTAGATGTTGGGGCAGGTTACACTGTTACACGGCCTCGCAGGGAAAGATCACACAATCCATGGTTCACTCGCCGAGGAGCGGCCCAGCAACTCTCGGGGCCAAGATTGCCGCACCCTGGTGCCCGGACTTCGGCTTGCGCGTTCTCCACGGCCCCTTCTTCGTGACCCGAAGAGAAAAGGGATGCGTAGGGAGACAAAACGGAAGGGTCAGTTGGCATCGCACGGGATGCTTATGTTCATGCCGGGTGTTGCGCGAGACAAGCGCTAGTCGTCTGTGTTCAGGCATCATTGCTTGCGAAGGAGAAGTTCTCTTGCTACACGGCATCCTGTCACTACAAGGTGCGTGCACGAGAGGCATCCTTGCAAGTAGGGCCCGCACAGTGATGCCACAGGCAGCAGACAATCTCCGGCTGGCTGCGAACTACACGTATGGCGGAAAGAAAACGTCGAAGCCTTGGCCTAGCAGCCAGTAGTGCTCTGAGAGAGCCATTTCTCGACCTAGGGATGGCAATTACACTATTGGCTTGATGTATGCCTGCAACAAGAACACGACCATGAAGGCGGACTGCACTCTCGCATACTGCCGCACTGCCATCTGTCATGGCTGCTGGGGCTTCTCGAGAGGTGAAGCTGGATCACAACAGGGCAATTAGCTGCTCTGCGCCTTGGCATGGAGCCGATCGTGCCGTATGCAAGGGACGGACTTTGGGTGTCCACTGAGGTGAAGCAAGTCTTCGCAAAAGGATTCTCTGCCCTTGGGGGTGTGAAGTATGATTCGAAGACAGGTGCGCCAATCACGAGGATGCACTTTGCTTTTGGTTGCATGTCAGCCGCTCAGGCACCCCGACTTACGGCCTCCAAATCAGTGTCGAGTGAGGTTTGTACCGTAGTCAATTTGTGTTTAAGACTGGCGCATACGCTGCGGCCTGGCCTCCTGAGTATGGGACCAACCTGTAGCCGTCAGGACGTCCGAACAACGCTGAACTGCCAGAGCTGTGTGCCCAGATCCGTACCCAGATGCAATGCGCAGAAAATGCGTACAGATTGGAACAGAACTCCTTCCTTGGTGCCAAGTTCGAAGGGATGCAAAAAGGTGCCAACAGACAGCTTCGTGACTCTGAGAATGCTTTTGCACGATGCATCCTCGTGGATTCCGCCCCACAGCTTTGACTGATGCCCCAATTGGCTTCAGCCTCCAAGCTCAAAAGAAAAGCAATGAAGACTACTGCCTCATGTTGCGTCGCCTGGTGCAGCGGTGTGGATCTGGTGTCAAGCAATCGACGAACCTGACAAGACAGCGGCATCTCTGCCAGTGCGGTGGAAGAAGTCGATTTAGCACGCGGAGCGATGGTCAGAGGCTTCGACCTCCCGAATCTAGCTCCACTGCTTTGAAAGCTGCCGTTGGCACGTCCTTGGTGGCTTATCTCGGATACAAAGGCTACCGACTGCTTTCATCTCGCTGGGATCGCGTCGAAGATGTTGAACTGCCTGCGGTACCGGAGCCAAGTGGTCATTTCGTCCATCCCTATGAGATCTGGCCCTGGTATCAGAAAGCCTGGTTTGCCTTCAAGCGCTCTGTCGCTTCGCTTGACGGTTGTTTGCTTGCTGAGAGCGTGTCAATTCCGGCAACTTGCTTAGGTCTTCTTAGCCTGGGTGTTTGCTCCGTTCATGTGTCCCACTCTCGGATCCGAGCCGACAGATATCAACACACGTTCCTAGAGGTGGAACAGTTGACCAAGGTGCCTCAACGCTGTTGGTGGTTTTCGGAAAGGAAAGCAGGACGTGGCGGGAATACTGGCTGCACCAGATGCTGGAGTGCAACCTGGCCAGAGTCATGCTTTGCTTTGCTTAGCGGCCTAGCGAGGTTTCAATCCATTGCCCCCTCAGGTCGGACTACAGTCGGTCTGTTGTTGCTCAATTAGGGCCTGGGGATGTGTTTTGGAACAAGCTCGGAGTTTGATTGGTGTTTCTAGTCGTGGCGGCCTGCCGGCTTTAGTCAGCCATGTCTTGACATGTTTGACCTTGTTGCTTACAGGAGGCTTCCCACCCTGCACCCCATACACGTGCAGCTAGTGCACACCGCAGGCTTTCCGATTTGTGCCGCGATGATACGGGGGTTCGCAGATACTCGTGGAGCTATGCAAAGAAGAGTCTGGGGTTGGAGCGTGGTCAGTTTCAGTGTGCTCCTTTGCTTGCTGGTCGGGACCTCCTAGAGGCCGTCGCAGGTGACCTTCCGGCTGTCCCTGCTTGGCTGCCACCTTGTTTTGTTTCGTTTGATCCTTTGGCGGACTAGTGTGCTTGCTCACACATACTTAGTTCCAAAGGTTCTCAAGCACCGTCCCTAACCTATGGATGCTCTCAGGTACACAAAAAGCTGGTGCCGCTTTTCAGAAGCGAACCTGCAGCACACCATCGTGGATGTCAGCTTTGGTGTTATAAGCCCGTCCTTCGTGGCTCCCACTGTTGACTGAGGTTTGGCCAGTGGCTTTCCATGCGGCCGGACATGTTCCCGCCGGATGTGATTCTGGTTCTAAGCAAGCTGAGGGCAGACGCGCCGGCACACTCTGGCGCCCTTTAGCCACACATGATGCACGCGCAAGCGCGCCCCGCGCCCCGGCCCCGGCCCCCAGCCCCGGCCCCCAAAAGGTCGTTTCTCGAAGGATGTTGAAGGACCAGCTGGGCAAGGCCAGGGCTCCGAAGCCGAGCAGCCGAGCAGCCGAGCCGCCGAAGAGCCTGTGGCTAGTGGCTCAGGATGTCGACGAGCTTTTCGATGAGTTTCAGGCGCCCGAGTTGTCATGCGCTCCGTTCGGCTAACCTGCTTCTCCTCTTTCAGGAAGAGCCTGTGGCTAGTGGTTCCGTGGGCCAAGTGCACAGGGCCCGCCTGAGAGCCGAGCATGCGCTGGACGGACCAGGCTGTTCGCAAAATTGTGCATTGCACCGTTAACTATAGCCATTTGCTTCTCGCACTTCACCATCACAATGCATCAGCCAGAGGTGGGCAGCTGCGCGACGTTGCAGTGAAGATACAGCACCCCGGGGTCATTGACAGCGCGTTTATGGACTTGAACATCGTTCCTTGGCAATCAACTTGGCATACTGCTTCGAGCACTGAGCCAGCGGTATTTGCACATGTCTCCCTTTTGTGTGCCGTGCGTTTGCCATTGGAGCTTCTCCCAGCCCCCCTCAGGTCTGGAAGATTGTGGAATTTTCAGAGAAGTTCCTGCACATGACAATGCCGTTTGATAGGCGTGAGATTGGTATCTGGTCAGTGCATTTTCATCATGCTTACCGTAAAACAGGAGCGACTTTGATGAAGTGATCCAAGCACAGATGGACTTCACCAGGGAAGCTTTCAATCTTCAACGCGGCTGGATTGGTGCAGGGATTTGCGTCTGCTTTCTTACGGCGGACATGGCGCATCGGGCTCCAAAGACGGGGCTGTTGTGAGCACGTAAGGCTTCGCACGGAACTTCAAGGGCGAGCACCGAATCAGGCCGCTGCTTGTTGCGTCAGGGAGCATTGGACGCAGTTTCCTTGAAAGGTTTCCAAAAGTGTCTTCGCGCTTCGTAACCCCCGAAGTACTCGTGGAGACTTGGGAGAATGGCGAAATCATTTCGAACATCATGGAGGACAGTGTGATGATGAGCTTCAGTTCTCGGAATCTTGAACGGATGGTGTGGAAGTTGGACCTGCAGAATTCCTGTTGTCGGACAGTGCGTCAAGGGGTGAAAGGGGTATCCGAAAACCAGTGCCAAAAGACTTTCGAAGCAGAGGCCGCGAGTTACTGCCCGCCCTGCCTGTTCGCCCCAACTCTTCTGTGTGGTGTGAAACAACACTGGGTTTCTGTTGCAGGGCTTATTGGAGGAGGGTCCTTCCTTGCGGCGGCGAACCACCAGAGCAGCAGACACAGCATCGGAGCAGCTTACTTCAGGTCAGGGTCGGTTTATCGATCTGAGAATCGAAACCGGTCGTTTTCACAACAGTCGAGCACTCTCTTTAATTTCCTCAACTTCCTCGTTGAGACGGTCCGGGTGTAGGTGTCAAAAATCTCGACATGGCTCAAGGGTGTCGATTCTCAACCCTCCTGGCCGACAGTATCTCGTAGTGAAGTTGCCCTAAAATAAGTGTTTGCAGGAGGCACATGGGCCGGACCTCAGCCGGAACCATGCGCGAGGAAAAGGTCCGCCGCACGGCTGTGCCACCTCAGCGCTCCACCTCAAGCGGAGGCGTTCCCAAACTGGACGACACATGCAAATACCCTCAGCTGGAGACAGGATGGGCAACGGAGAATAGGCCCAGCCACTTTCGAAGGCCACCGCAGAGAGCTACCCCGACCACAGTGAGAAAACCCGCAGCAGTGGCAGTGCACTGAGCCGGGTTAATCGCTTGGGAGGGTCGGTAGCTGCCCGGATTGAAAATTGCTCCAGCAGCTCCACCAAAGCTGGTCAGCTCTGATGGCCATTGAATAGTACGTCAAGAAGTACTGAGAGTGAAGCCGGGAGGGTCCTTCAGTTCAGACACAGGATGCATTCTAGAAGTTCCAAAGACAGATTTAGGATGTCTCGGCAGGATTTCGACAATGCAAAGGCTGCGTGTCAAGATGCCATGACCGCTCTGGAGACCAAGAAGCGCGAAGTTCAAGGCCGAATTTACTTCCACCGTTTCCTTCGGCGAATGTGCAATTGGTCAGGTGACCTTTCAAAGATCTTGTATGACATGAGCATGAAGATGATGATTCGAGACAATTTTGTTCACGGCGACCTGCATGGCGGAAACATTTTGTATTCAACGAACGATGACCACGTTACGGTCCTTGATGCTGGAATTGCAACATCGCTGGACAAGCGAACGGTGGCACCTTTTGGCGGCGGGCTTAGATATCGCTGCGTAGACTGTCATTTCTGGCATACCAGGCACACATGAAATAGTTTTGTCCCGACTGCGCAGGACGCTTCTTGCATGCGTTGTGTTCCGGACAGACCGAGAAGGTGGTTGAATACCTGCAGAGATTCAACGAGTCGAACATGGCATCTGCATTGCACGACAGCTAGCTAAATTCGTTCTTGTTTCTCGATGGTTCCTTTTCTGATTGCATGCCAGGGGTGGTTCAGGAGTTTATGTTTGCAGCTCTGAAGCTCGAGTCTTCGGGTGCACCAGCGAAGCTCTGAAGCTCGAGTCTTCAGAGGCTTCAGAGCTTCAATTTTTGCGAGCCAGAAGTGGCGCTCCCTGCCTTTTCTTGTGGGTTGCAGTCTGAAATCCAGGGCAGAATCTACTTGACTTTTGCTGTTTTTTGGATGCGTAGTAACATATGCACTAAGGTCTTCATTTTTACAGATGTCAGCTCTGGTTGGGTGGTCGTCTGCTCAGGTAGTCAACACCAAGCAGTTACATGCGGACATCCAGGAAACGATGGACAAGTGTCTCGGGTGCAACGACAGATTCCAATGCATGCCGTGATAGCATCGATTTTGCGCACAGCGAGGTTGCAGCTTCCTAGTTTGAATTCTGCATGCTGGTTGCATGATATGCGGCCCGAGCGAGGTACATGGGACCTTTCCGAATAGACAAGGAAGGACCTTTGAATGCGGCAGACATGTTTGGAGAAGTCATGTTTACGTTACAGACGCATCACAGCAAGAATGTCGCACATGTGCCTGGCATTCTCGTGCGCTTGCTTCTTGCGGCAGCACGTGATGGTCTTATTCGGCTTCCGTGCTAAGGAGACACGGAATGTTGCTCAAGGGTGACGTGGCTTCTACACTGTTTACCATATCGATCAGTGAAGGCTTAGTCCGTCAATTGGACCCAAGCTTTGATGTAGCCAAGCAGGCTTTACCATACATCACCAAGTACATGGGTGCCGCATTTGCGAGCGGATGAAACCAGTTCGATTGCAATGTGTGTAAGTTAGCTGTAGTCCAAATCACGCTTTGCAAGCAATCGAAGTCTGATGTCACGATGGGGCATCGAAGAACCAGGATGGCTAGCAGTCTTGCGAAGCATGACTGACGGCATGATCCCCCGAGTCCCAGTGCAGTTGCTTGACAACTGCAGTAAATGAGAGCGCATAGCTGCAGCGTGCAGCCAGCGCGGCGATAAGTTCTATGCAAAAAGTGTTGCATCACTTCGGTGTCCAAGCCAGGCCTCCCACATGTGACATACGCACCCTGTAGTCCGTGCAAATCTGTGCTTGTCCGAGGCCAGAAGACCTTCTTTTCCAGACCCGAATCATTGCCGGAGTTGCGGAGGTGCGGAATGTCGCGATTGGCATATGCAGCAAACGCTCCATGTTGAATCCATGTAGCTGCAAAGCGCTGGTGCTGCAGCAATTTTGTGTCCCAGCTGCGTGCCCGCTGCGCCCACCGCCGGCATGGCGGAAGCTTTTCAGCACCTCACGCCTTCCACCTGGCAAGCTCTTGTCCGGACTCCGGACTGAGTGTTTGTTTCTGCTGGACAGAAGAGGCCCCTGCACGATGGAGTCTGCTGCTCCTTTTGCTTAGACCCTTGGTCGAGACAACCTGGGCTTCTTGTGTGTCGGTGTGTGCATGTGCGCTCGATGTTCCGTACATTGAAGCTGCAACAGACTGCTGAAAGCCGCTGCGCGGATTGAGGTGTCTTGGCCAACAAGGTAGCAGGGCAGGTGGCAGACGAGGCTCGGAGCTGCCTGTACCTGATGCAGTGAAGTCCGGATTCTCTCAATCGTCCGCCAACGTACAATGCAGGCAGACGTAGACGAGGAGCAGTTGCCTTTGTTCCCCTGCTGGGCCAAGCACGGTGTGCCAAAGCTGTGTAATGCTTGCCACAGAAATAGCTAATCCAGGCCGATCGTCAAGCAGAGGGAGATTTGCTGCTAACCATGCTGGCGCCATGTCTGCAGGACGAGGAGGATGACGAAGATTTCCCAGAGTCTGTGAAAACTCTCACCGACAGTCGCGTGCTGAAACGACCTTCCAGCAGCACGGGATGCACAGACATGCAGGGACAGCTTCCCCACAGAGGCACTTTCCAGGACTTCATCAAAAGCAACGAGAGGGTTTTGGTGGAGTTTTATGCGTTCGCTGCTGAGATGTGATTCAGTGCATGCATAAGCTTGGGAGAAGACGGTGGGAGGCCTTGGTGTGGCCATTGTCAGCAGCTGGAGCCGCAGTACAATCAGGCTGCTGATGCCCTGCGAGCCTCGTCAGTGAGTTGCTGCAGTGTCGGGACATCCGCACACACAGTGCGCATGCACACGTAGTGTCTCAAGGAATGGAAGGGGCCAAGACCATGCTGGCCAAGGCAAGGACCAAGCTTCACCGGGCGAGGAGTCCAGGAGTCCTGCTGCCGATCTCAGGTTGATGCGACTGCAGAGACGGGCCTGGCAGAACAGTACCAGGTTCTGAAGCACAACCTCCGAAGATCCGGATGTCTGCAAGCCACCTACCTGGAAGGTACAATCATATCCGACATTGAAATACTTCGTAGGAGGAGGCAGGAATGGGAAGGCCGATTGGTGCGACTGGAAAGTGGACGCATTTTTCAGGTGAGCCTGTTGAGTACGACGGCCCGCGAGAAGCGGTTGGCATCGCAGAATGGCTTAGCCCCTCGCAAATTATTTGCCTCGAGGAGAATGTACAGTGGAGTGTATTGAGCTGTGTGTGTGTGTGAACCTCCCTAGCACATGGGAGCAGAGGGTCACTCCTGCAGTCCTACAGGTTTGCAGGGGGGCAGGACATTTTGGCAGTGCCTGCCCAACGAAGAGGCTGCTAAGAGATGCTGATGCGACAGGGGATGCTCTGTTGTGTACCTGCAAAAAGAAACAGCTGGGGCCCCTGAGCCAGCAAGATTAGAGGGCCCCTGTGCCAAGATTAGTCGACAACAACATACAACATGCTCTCCTTTTTCTTTCTTTCTTCACTCTTGCTCTTGGCCGAATCAATCAGTGTGTTGGCAGCTGACCTCCAGCATGTCGGAGCCAGCTTGGCTTAGGAAAACGAGAAAAGCCAGCCGTGGAGGAGATGAAGGAGTCCGAGGCACGGATGAGACAAGCGCAGCACCTGACATGAACACATCATGTGAGTTCGTGTCTTGCAGGTGAATGCTTGGATTCAGAAAACCTTAGATGAGAATGCCTTCGCTTCTCGGCCCATTGTGTCCGTCCTGTTCTCATTCGTCACGGTTTTAGAAACTAACCGAGGCTCTGGTGGCGCATGTGAAGAAGAAATCTGCACGTGCCAAGGTGCGTCAGTAGACCGGCCTCAGTTGTGAGGGTACATCGCGAGACTTGTTGGATTCCTTGCAAGGCATACACCAAGTCCGCCGAGAGCCTGATAGATTACAAGGGCTCGAAACTGAGGCCGGAGAGAACCGCCGTGGACTTCAGACTACTTCAGACTGGAACCACCCCCATGACCGCGTTGTGCGGCTTTCATCCAGAGAAGATCTGCTTTCCGTTTTCAGGTTTGCCGTCGTTTGGCTGCCGAAAGCGGCCGATCCAAAGAAGGATGCTCACCTTTCCATGTCACGTGCGGAACTTTGCAGCGCCTCTTCCGGGGCTGCGTTGTCGACGTTGGAGTTGCAAGGCCCTCTGAAGGATCCAGAAGCCAAGAAGCTTGACACTTGCCGGCGTCTAGCTGCAACTGCATGGAACAGGTTCAGAGGCCTAGAGTCTGTGCTGCTTGCTCGAAGTTTCAGGACTTCGCCGGCTCATGGACAGACACCGGACTGGCGAAGTGGATCAAGACACTTGGAAGGAATTCTCCGAGAGAGTCGAGAGGGACTAGCCTCGGCCTCTCTTTGCCGTCTTTTGCTCTCCCGTCTGAGGCAGAGCACGTACGCTTTGGTTGACGATTCCTTTGCCGCAAACAAATATTCAACGGAGGTGGTGGCAAGACGCTCGTAGCTGTGCTTTCCGGGCTGTATTCCTCCAGGCGATGCAGGAGATCGGAGCGAAAGGCGGTTTACTCAGATTCAGATGTTCGCCGCGAGTGTTTCTACTGCAATGGTCGCAAAGCGACGGCAAGTAAGGGTTTTCAAGGTGCAGTGGTTGGGATCTTCGACACAGAGGATGCCGGCAAAGACATGAGAAGCCTTTTGCAGAAGGCCTCGGAATGCGTGGACCAGATGCGGGTTCGGTGGCTGAAGCCCGTCAGGAAGAAATTTTGATGAGTGTTTTGATTGTTGGCCTTCTCACTTTTGCCACAGTCATGTGCAGGGCTAGAAAGTGGTTTGGGGGAATTTGGAATGGGTCGAAGGGGCACGGATCATGCCAGCGGAGGTGGCTGCAGCAGAAGCGAGGCTTGCCGGCAAATGATGACAACAGTGCGAATTGATGTGCTTGGTCTGGAAGCCTTGGAGACTCGAGGTCATGGCGTTTTGCGACCAGTCCACAATCGAAGTTGGACGAAAGCGACCTGGCCGTGCTCGGGGCCAAAAAGGCGTGCTTCCCAACTTGTCACTCCACTGAGAGGGTACAGCACTTAACCAACCTGCGTTGACCGAGGATGCCCCTATGCAGATCTCAGTACTCTACCAGGAAAAGAAGTACGTGCTGAAGGCTGTCAGCGACTCGTGCACGCACGGTTCATCTGGAGTCCATGGCATTGACGGCAGCGCAAAACAAGTTTGCTTTTCAGGACGTGACGGAGCAGGTTGGAAAGGAGCCGAGCCAATCATGCGGAAAGGATGCACTCCATCGCTGGAGGCCATTAAGAGTTTTCTTGCGGACGTTCTTGCCAAAAAAGCCAAGCCGCACCATGGATGCAAGTTTGGACTGTGGAACACGTGTGCCAAATTCAGGCCAATGCCGAGAGATTCCTCGAGCATTTAGACAACATGTGGCGCAAGTCGAGAGTGAGGTATTACAAGAGCGCGCCACCGCCGAGTCAGGACTCACCTTTTCCAGAATCTCATTCTGGTCACGCTCTCCAATGGTTTTCGATATCCCTCCGTTGTCAGGCAGCTGAAGGAGGCGTCACCGTGTTGACAGGCGCCTTGAGCTGGGGAATATGGATAAGACGACGAGTCCAGCACTTCCCGAGGTGATACCTTCGACGAAGTTGTGCTAAATGCCAAGCACGATGTCTTTGTGCCCCAGCTGCAGTCCAGACGTGTAAACAGGGCAAGTTGCGATCGACAAAGCTTTTCCGCTGCTGCTGTATGTTTCAGCTTTGCGGTGGCAGTGGCAAGAGTTGCACACATGCGCATGATGCGGATGCCAGGTGAGCACTTGTCGCTTGACCTTTGCTGTTACGGTTTCAGTGGTTGCGAATCGGACATAATCGGACACTTCATCTGGGCTTTCTGTCGCTGTCCGTTCTTACCCTCAGCACGAAGGTGTGCCGCACGGTGGCGGCGATTTGTCACTGTAGTCGTTCGTGGTGAGCTGCCGTAAACACACTGGGACCGTAAGCTTTTCGGGCCGAAGGTGACATTCGTCAGGCCGCTGGGGCCCTGATCCCACCCCACCTCCACACTCTCCACCCTTTTCAATCTTTTTCAGCCTTTCCCCACAGGTCTCATAGACCACAGGACATGGACGCAGACCTCAAGGGAAGGGCTGCGAATGGCAGCAAAGCCATAGACACTATTTAATCGGAACAATGTGCACCCGAAGCCTTCTGACAAAAGGAGACATCAATACCCGCCAAAGATGGGGGGGAAACGCTGTAGAAAAAATGATGACAGTCGACCAAGAGAAGAGGCACGTGGCCGGGAATTTTCCTTCGCTGAGCTGGACAATGGAAAGGGAGGTTTAGCCACAAGAAGCCCCAGCTGGAGCATTTGGTCGAAAGCGCTTGCTGTCCAGAGTCATTCCTGCCTGGACGCGTCACGTGAGCAGCATGTGGAAGAGCGCGGAACTCAGTTGGCAGGTCGAGTTCTATGCGTTGGCTTCTCAGATGGGTCGGTGCCTTCGGTCAGATGTTGACTTGGAGTGGCAGTTGCCAGGCCTTGGTGTGGCCACTGCCCGGCACTTGTTGCATGCCAGCTCGGACGTTGCAGGTGTGAGACAGTCATCTTGTTGAATGCCAGTCCTCAGGCAAGAAGTTGGAACCAGTTTGGACACAACTGGCGCAGAAGGTTCGGAGTGCCGCCCTAGTCTGAATGCATTCTGTTTATGCGCTCGGCCAGGTAGAAAGTCTCGGCCACGATACTTGACTGCAGAATGGCTGTGCCGCGCTGAGCCTCTGGTCGACCTACCCGCCGGGCTAAGGGGAAGCACGTCGTTGTGGCAAAGATGGATGCCACGGTGGCTGGGATGTTCATGACTGTGGCCTTGCTTCATGAGCTCGAGACAGTAAAAGCTGAGGAAAACGAGTGCGAAGAACAAGTTACAGGCGATGAATGCAATTGGGAATCCGGACCTGTCATGTTCGTGTCGCTTCATTTCTATGCAAGTTGTGCTCATTACTCTTCAACCCTCAGACAACAGGTCGCATCCTTTCAGTATGAGCGTGCGCGCGTGTGTGTGTGTGTGTGTGTCAGGTTACCCTACTCTTGTTTTCTATCCAGCCGTGAAAAAAGAGAAAAAGTGTGCACCCCAGCAATCCGAGGAGTCATCCGCCACGCCTCGATTGTCGTGAAAACGCGTTTTCTTTGCCGAGGTTTCGCCAAAAGCTCATTTATCAAGGTGCAAGAGACTTTGATCCTCTCCTGGACTTCCTGGCGACCATCTAAAATTGGAGTGTCGACAAAGTTCGTGTTGAGCTCACGAGGAAGAAGCATTGTGGTGGCATTCTCAGGTGGAGAATGCTGTGAACCTGGAGGGCGTGGAGCTGACGGAGGGCGTGGGCAAGCAAGCCTCACTTGTGCCTCCGGTCGCAGAGCAACGGAGTACCGTCTCCGTTTGTTTGCGTGGCAGACGTGGGCTCGTCCCAAGGTGGAAAGGGAGCGTGCCAGAAAGAAGAAGAAGGCCGGGCACTGCCGGCCGTGCAAGTCCAGCACAGTAGAGCAGAGACAGGGGCAGTAGAGTAGAGACGGTGGAGCTTTCTTTTGAAGGAGCTTTGAGTGCCCCCGAAATGGAGGCAGGCACAGACTCGAGGCCCGAGGCTCCTGGCATCCGACTGCTGCGGTCTGCGAGGCCCACGGCCGTCGGCCAAAGTGCGGAAGATGCGGTGAAGCAGGGCAAAAGCCCTGGCTTGCATCTCGTTTCCGCCCACTGAGCGCCGTTTCATCGGCTGCTTGATAGGCTTGAGGGATACGCTGGAAAGTGTTTGATTGCAAGTTTAGAATAGCTTTGATTACGGCAGGCACCAGGCCAAGCCACAAAAACCTACGCTGCAGCGGGAAACGCTGTCAAAACACGCGTTCGTCGCACATGAACGGAAGATCTCAGCGCAAGCCAACACCCACAATGTTTCGAGGGTTGTTCCGTGAGTTCTTTCGTGCCGGCCGTGCAGGTTTTATGCAGCCGTCCCAGATGGTTGTGAGTCGCCAAAGCAGTCATCACTAATCAGGCGTGACAAGGCAGACCCGTCAATGCACTCAGGCGACCCATCGCGGCTTTCAAGCTCACAAGCGTCGATTGAAGATGTGTCTCGGCTCACCATGAAGAACACAAAGGGAATGAAAGGGGAGTCGTGAAATGCCAGTGTTAGGCCAGAGGAACCGCCACGGCGGCCGGTGCTGTCTCAGGAAAGCCATCAGCTTCTTGTCGTCAGCAGCCCTTGCTTTCGAGAAGTGCAAGCAGACTCCTGACAGTCGCTTCTCAGATGAAACTGTCTGACTTCGCAGCGGAGGTTTATGTCGCAGCCCGGGTGGGAGCGACACGCGAAGAGCGTGTTGAACGTGAACGGTGAGGTTTCTTACTTTGTCTTTTGCAAGTTCTCTAGACCATACCGTGAAGACATGACCCCCAACACAGAAACGTAATCGGGCCGTCAATGTCAAAATCTGTTATCAGTTATCACATTTTGATGCATCCGTTGCGCTGGCGTGTGATATGTGGGATTTTTCAGCATCATTGCATGATTTGCGCTGAGCACTTTGCACAAGGGACATCTTATGCTGGATCCAGGACGCACGGCTAAAACCTCTGTGCATGCATTTGTACCATGAGCTCCCCATGAAGCATTATCCGCGGTCCAAGCCAGCTCGGCATTGCGATGGCAACATCTCATTATGTGTTGGTACATACCACTTGGCCACCTACACCGTCGTAGACCCTCTCAAGACCAACATTAGCAACATTCTGCGTTCCATGGTGATCGGAATGAGGAAGTCTCTTGCGTATCATATTTCCAAGACCATGGAAAATGCAGGTATCTGCGGTGAAAGGAACCCACACCTAACAGAACACGACGTGAGTTCTGAAAGAAGGTGTCAACCACAGATTTCCCTCCTGCGAAGCTTGCTCACGGCATGAACTCACGGCAGTGGTCACCTCAAGTCGGCCCGAGACTCCCCAGCCCAACCATGAGGACCGGTTTCAGGGCGCTTTCTTCCAGATTGATCGCTCTGTGAAACGGGGACATCGGCCCATTTCAGACCTCACGGGCATGAGCAGTGTTGTGTTCATAGGTTTTCTGTCACCCCACCTTCAGCCACCTGCATTCCCATCGTCTTTGACGTAAGGGACCACGAATCACATCGATACGCTCCGATATTACCTTCAGTTCAACATTCCTGCCATGGTTTCGTGTTGTAGAGACGCCGTATGTGTCCCTGTTGCGGCAGACCTGTGATGAGCCGTTTCCTTTTTGATCACGATACGATTGTACGGCGACACCGCCGGGGAACAGCGTGATTTCACGGACAACGATGAGCTAGGGCTAGGGGCTCCCTCGTAGCCTCGCCGCCACATCCAAGCTGCTGAATCTGCAAGGGCCCGTATCCACACGGGCACCACTGTCAGCTTGCATCCGTGATAATTCGTGCTTTACCAAATGAAGAGCCATGTATGTGAGACGCAAGGCAGCAGCCGGTATTACTCAGGGCGTGCTTTTGTCCACTTGCTTTACACAGTTTTCCCATGTGTCTGCTACCTATGTCCCGGCTTCGTGCATGTGATGGTCCCACCAGGTGGCGGCATGGACGGAGAACACGCCCAGGGCACTGCAAAAGCAGGCGGGCCAAAGTCGAGATGAGTTTGAAGCTCGTGCTGTTTTTGGGTTGTTATAAAACGAACGTGTCAGAGGTGCGGGAGCCTGGCACGATGCTCCTGCGGGTGTGCCGGCCTTTGCCGAAGAAGTTATCGCTCAGTTTGAGCCTGGTGCCAGGTACCGCTGCCTCCAGCTCCGCATCTGATCCATGGCAGATTTCCCCGTGTGGAGCAGTAACAAGCAATAAGACAAATGGACATGTGACATATGGGGCCCATCGTATCAGACTCAAGTTGGATCGAATAGGCCAGTGCAGCCTGTTGCAAGCCTAGTCACAGTTTCACTCGGCTGGTGTCGTTAAGCGACCATGAAGTCGACATTTCTGTGAGACCCGTGTTGCCATGAAGAGGGTTGCCGACATGTATGTCACCGTGTGTCGTCGTCATGAGTGGAAGGACAGATGCTGCGGCCTCTTCTATGTTCGGAAAAGGTGGCAGTATGACTCCAGCGGGCCACGCCAACGTTTCATCGCAGCTACGCCAAGGCTCAAAACCAAATCTCTGCCGCTAAAGCTATGGCGACGCCTTCGAGCAAAAGTGCGAAAAGCGAGATCCCAAACACAGTCCGAGTAGACTGGAATGATGCTGCGCCTGAAAGAGGTGTTTAGACATGTAGCCGTCTTCAGATTTGGCTGTGGCCGGGGCATCCATGCCAGAGCATGTTGAAGGAATTGTGCTTGAGTTTGCCTAGGATGTGGATCTGGTGGCAAAGCTGGCCAGGAAGGGTGGTGTTACGGAGGCCATTGCACCATGGTTTGTGAGGCATGAGCCCACCACACCGCTTTCGGAGGAAAAGCGCATTCTGAGCAAAGTGAGCGGCTTTGCGCTTCCTGGCGAGCTCCTTGCGATCATGGGACCGTCTGGAGCTACTCGCCAATAGCTGCCTCGTGCCAGCTTACAAAATGAAGTGAATGTGTGCAAGGCTGGCAAGACATCCCTACTGAATTGCTTGGCCGTGCGAACCAGTCCAACTGGCGGCAGCTTAACCTTTAATGCGAGACTCGACCTCAAGTGGCAGCATCGCTTTTGAAACTGTCGGAGCAGATGGTCCGTCGAGCTCCCATAACTGGCCCTGCTAGGACAGAAATTTCTACTTCTCTCAAGCGGCGCGTTGCGTACGTTCATCAGCAGGCCTTGCGATTGCGCAGCTCAGTGCTGGCTAGAACTCTTCGCACCGGAGGAGATGCTCCTGGAATGCTACACTCCCAAAGAGCATCTGCTCTTCCAGAGCTCTCTCAGGATGCCGCGAGATGTAACAAGCAGCCAGCGACGAGAGCGTGTTGCAAAATGTATTCACCTGCTTCCTGGCCGCCTCAGAACCCCCTTCCCTGGCAGTGTGTTTCTGCCCCTCCATTCCACCGATTCTAAGGTTGGGACTGGAGATCCACCGCTGCAGTGAAGAAGGGGTGTTCTGTGCTGGAGTACGGAGACTGTCTGGAAATTCAATCCAGCACGCCTTGTCTGATCTTTCACCGAGGAAATGCCAAAACAGCTTGATAGGTGCCAGCTCTGGGATGCTGGATTTTCGATGATTTTCGCATATTTTGATTTCCAGTTTGCGTCGAATGTTTTGCAGGTGACATCTACCATGGCATCTCGAAGAACGAAAAGCGAAGGGTCTGCTTTGCAACAGCTGCCTGGCAAGATCACTCTTCAACAGCTTGTCGCATGCACAAGCCGTGGCCCTTTTGCACAGGAGATTCTGACACAACCGGCGGTTCTTTTCTGTGATGAGCCCACTACTGGTCTGGCTGCTTGGCCTCAGAGTTTTTCCTTGTTCATGAGTCGATATGCTGTTATCACTGGATGGGAAGGTTGCGAAAACTACAAAAGTGTAAACCTCCCGAACAACGAGGGAATGCATTTCTCGGAAAAAGCGAGGGAATGCATTTCGCAACGCATGTGTGCACTTTTAGAGCTAAAGTGACAAGCTATGGAAGGTCAACAATGGGATGTAGCTCACAGACTTGGCACGGAAATTGCAACACAAGCGAAACAAGATGCGGAACACCACCTCCTTGAAGAACTTGAAGCACCTACAACTTCAAACGTCTTCGCACCAAATGTGCTCCTGAATTCTCGACTACAAAATGGTTCATATGTTATTCACTCTCGATGAACTGGATCGTGCACGTCGTCGGTGAGCTCTTCAAATGCTTAGAGCAAGACAAAACAGTCTTACCTGTGAATGTCAACGGACCAGTGTCTTTAGGGAGGCGAAGTCCCAATGCAAATTCTCCAAGCTGTCGATTTGTGACGCAGTGACTCTACGTCTTCTGAAAACAGTTGACCGAGTTCGCTATTACTGTCATGCCACAAGATTGTTGCCTGGTTGGAGAAAGATTGGACAACGGATTGGACGCAGGGCACTAGTCAAACAACTTTCATGGTCATAAGATTTCAAGATATGGCTGTAGCGGTGCTTTGGTGCTTTAAGGTTTGGAAAAGGCTTTCGACAAGATCTTTCAACCCAAAATCCAAAGTATAAATAGGGGGGGCTGCAAGTAAAGAACGGCGGACTTGATCCAAAGTTCAGTTTAAAGCCGGCATACATAGGAATGACTCTGAATGGCTAATGCAACGAGGCTGTCGGCTATGTCCCTGTTTATTCTGCTCAGTGCCGGAGCGTGCCGGAGCACTGTGTTTCGGATATCAAGGTTGAACTTAACACTCCCAGTCAGCATCAGCCAATTGATGGCATGTTGAGATACTGCACGCAGATGACACTCTTATATTCGAGGCAAGCACGCACTGTCTCAATGTTTTTCCATCACACTTTGGTCTCACTTTTGAATTAGGGCAAGTGCGCAAATCTCGCTACGAACTGAAGGCAATCTTTCTCAGATTCTGCCCACAGGCCCGGCTCAAGGCAAGCTTCTACCCACAAAGAACTCTGCCGACAGACACCTTCGACAGCAGAGCTGCAGTTTCCAGCAGAATCGGTGATTATATAGCTGATATAGCTGCATGCAATCGCTTGAAAGTGTTCTGAAATGAAGCCGATAATGGCATAAATGGGAAAATCCAAGGATTTAATGCTAGCGCGCGGTTCAAGTTACTCTATGTGGTAGAATGTGTGCAGCTATCTAGCGCGGAACTTCTCAACCCTGCATGCATTTCAACATCGTTCTTCCCACCCACGTTCATTGACAGAGCAAACAAATGCCTGACAGAACGCCTAATAATTGTGGATTTTCTCCTGTGTGCACTTTGCGGACACAACTGGACTGGCGCATATTGCGAGTAAGCCCTGCAGATCCCCTAGCTCAAATTAAATTCAAAACAGACGGAGTGACACCTAGAGAGCCCTGTCGCGCTCGAAAAAAATGACGTCAGACAGAGCTATTGGACTCAGGACAGTGTCATGGCCGAGGCCACGCCCCCGTGCGAATGCATCAGTCAGCTCATGCTGTCGACATGCAAAATCCGCTTGTTTTTCACGTGCCTCACCTGTGTGTGAGGTTATCGTGAAGTACATGAAGGCAAGTCATGGAGTCTTTCCATGACTCCTATGGCTGTGTTGTCGCAACGGGAGCCCCCAAATGCAGGGATGCTTAACTTTTCTGAGAAGCTGTACAGGCCATCGCCATGGAAGGGCAGAAGGGCCAGAAGGTCACTGTCATTGCATCCATCCATCAGCCATCGTCGCAGGTGGCTTGTTGGCAAACGCTTTGCTCGCATACGGCCATCAGAAACGTCCACACTCGCTTTCGGAATAAGGTTTTCCGGCTTTTCGATCGTCTCCACTTCCTTGTCGACGGAAGAACCGCTTTCTTTGGTCCGGTCAAGCAGCTGGAAGCATACTTCTCGAGCATCGGGTACCCAATGCCTGATCACACCATGCCTGCCGATTTTGTCATGAAGCTGCTCTTCAGTTGCACTTCATTGGCCTCTTTGTTGAATGTGTGGTGCATTCTTCTGTCACAAGGTGCATAAATCCACGGGATCCAGAGGGTGCAGCAAGCCGTCGTGTTGCAATCGGACTCCTGGCAGCATCCCGCTCATGATGGCAGGCTTGACTCACTCAGGCGGCTTCAGAGCCGGGCATGCTTCAGAATCTTCCGCTACAAAGCGATTCGCTTCAAACCCCAATCCGTTCAAGGGACAGTTGATGTTACTGCCGTTTACCCCCTAGAAGGACGAAGATGACCCCTTTCGGTGCTGCAGGAAACCCCTTCTTTCGACCATTCTCAGAGACTGTACCGGCAAGGTGACGCATGGGAGAAGCAGTGGCCCAATGATCCTCAGCTGATAGCACATCCTCCCGCGCCAGACACACGAAATCAAAATAGCTTCATCGCCAGGATGATGCTCGTGCGAATGATGCACCGATCAAGATCATGGGCAAAGATGCGGCCATGCTGCAGCAAGAGCAGTTGAAGCCGAAGCTGGTGTGGTGAAATGTTTGACCTCATCAGGCCATCTCTGAAAGCCCAGACGATGATCGAGGCAGAAACTGCTTTTTGCAGCTGATCCAGATGACGAAGCGTGAGGACGCTCAGCCGGCTTCATTTTGACGGACAGATGCGTGGCTTTACACCGTGTATCAAAATTCATCGCAAAAATGCATCCGAACCGTGATCTTGCTTGTTCTGGTTGTTGCATTTAGGGTTTTGGTGGCTTCACTTTCAATGCTGCGTCGAGTTGATGTCGAAGACCTTAAAAGCAAAGGCATAGGTCCAATTCCTGTTCCCTTGAAAAGTTCAGCCAGCCGCCTTTGACCGGGTCCGGCAAGAAGTTGCCCCGGTGCAATGGGCCAAATGGCTTGAGACAAGAGTGTCAAGCCCAACTGAACCGACACAGCGGAGGTGATCATGAAGACACGAGCGAAAGCAGAATTGCGATCATCTGTGATCCGGACAATTGTTCTGGGACTGATCTTCGGCCTCACGTTCTTTCAGATCGAGAAGACCCAAACGGAGCCTCGGCCATGCTGGTTCGCATCTGTGCAGCTTTCCGACCGTTGCGCGCAGAATCTTTTTTGCTGAGACTTGCGCAGGCCCTGTTCGCACTGAATGGCTGCATTTTCTTTGTCCAAGCCCAAGACCGGCACGGCTCAAGCACCACACGGCTTGGAGTCGAGTCATGCCAATGAGTAGGAAACTGTCCAAGGTCATGATGATGCAGGTGATGAACACAGCATCTTGCCTCCAGAGAGCATGGAGTCCAGGCGTTGGCATGGCTTCACCAAGTGTAGACTGACCACCTCCTCAGTGCTTTGTTGGAATCTTTGTGTCGCAAATTGCTATCTAAGTGTATGGGTGGTGCCATGGGCATCCCAACGCGCCTGCCCACATTGATCCGTGAACACCGAAATGGAGCGTATTCGGTCGGCCTCTGAGTGTATGCGACTCCGACCGCGGGTCGGGTTTTGCGCAACATCTGGTGCCGTGACGTCGTAAAAGCATGATGATGATCATAAGATGGTGATGGTGATGATGGTGATGAAGGTGATGATGGCGATGATGATCTGTGCTTGCGCGCTTACCGTCTGAGGTTCCCTCAATTTACATTAGTAAGTTCCTCGCGGACCTGCCCTTCGATTTTGGGGCGCTTCCCCTTGCAAGAAGAGCGCAGAATCTTCTGTTCTGAGTCCACCAGTGACCTCAACAAACGTTTGACTGAAGCTGCGCCGTCTCAGATTGCACTCCTCTGGTCGACGATGCTGTTCTGGATGGTGGGATTCCGAAGCTCCTTTGAGAGACTGCGTCCAAATGGCCACGCCATGTCTGAAAGCTTGAAGGGAAAGCTGTGGGTCGTCTGCGATTGCAGGTGGTAGGTTAGCAGAGCTTTTATGTCTGCAGCAAGGAACTTCTTCTGGTTCTTCCTGACAATCTATCTCCTCACTTCTGTTGCCACTGGCATCGGCTACTTGGGCGGCTACGTTGCACCAATCGGGGCCGTGGGAATGCTCCTTGTCTCCACTAGTCACAAGTCTCTAGCAACTTGTAGGGCAAATGGCGGGACTCGACCATCCGAGGCTTGTGGTGCTTCTCAATGTCATGCCTCAGATCCTGGACAAGTATCAAGAGTTAAAGGTTGGGGTGATTCACTGTCAGCCATGATTCTGGTGAGGGCAGCAAAGCCAGCGCAAGTTAAGGATGATGATGGGAGGCCTCTTCATCAATTTAGACTCCGTTCCTGTCGGGCTGGTATGGCTGAAAGCAATCTCGATGTTCCGTCACAGCTTCGAGGCGCCATTGCTTCTTTCAGTGATTGAGTTCAACGCGCTGATGGGGGCAGGCTTTGATGATCAACCAGTGGCAAGACTTCGGCGACCTCACATGCGATGGGCCGTGCATCGCGCAAAACGGAGAGGAGGTCTTGGCGTGGAGCGGAATCAATCCAGACAGTGCCAGCTTCTTCCAAGCAGTCCTGCTGTCGCCTTCACTCCCCCAACAAGTCAGTCCACCACGTCAGAGCGGTTCGGGCACATACCACAACCCAGGCTACATGGTGTCAATGCTGTACCTCCTGATTCCGCTTTGCAGCTCGTCGGATGCGGATTCGCCGAAATGCCTCTATCAGTTCAATCAATTCCTGCGAAGTGCCTCTACAAGTACGCAGGCTGTGCGCCGCTTTCTGCCAAACTCTTGCTTCTGAGGCTGCTATCACAGCTTGGCATTCTTTCTGCTAATGCGTCGGGCACGCCCTCGACAGTTCGAGGGTGCTGCCCCAGAAGATGACACAAAGGGGGAGCTGCGCCGTGACCAGGCTTCAAAAGTGGCCGCAGCCATGCTGACTCGTTTAGAGCTCGCACCTGAGGCCAAGATGAGGAAAAGCCAAAGTTGACTGACATTCCTCGGCCTGAGCTGTTGATGGCTTGGCAGAATCTGACCATAGATGTGCAGCGAAACGAAACTGGAAAATCGCAGCCGCTCGCTTCAATCCACTCGAGATCTGGTCATGTTAGAAAATGTGCACAAGATGTGCTCCGCTGTCCGTGCCGAGGACTTGTCGGATTCTGGATGGCCCAAGCGGTCACCTCGAGCCGGGTCAGCTCATGGCGATTATGGGGCCCTCAGGTTCTGGGAAGTCGACTTTCTTAAAATCCATTGCGGGCATCGGCGAGCTGCCGTTGTTGCCAGGACCCGATGGATGCGCAACACCGTTGTTCTGCATTGAGAATCATGCCTTGCAGGGTCCAGTGTGAACGTCAACGGTGGGGAATGGACGCCGGCAATGCGCGATCACAGCGGGTTTCTCTTTCAAGATGAGCAGCTCTTTGCAGGACAGGAGTTTTCCAAAGTAGGTTAGTAGAACCTCTGAGGGGTCCGAGCTTCGCAGGACTCACAGTCCGGGAGCACCTGCTCTTCCAATGGCAATTCCGCATGGGAGTGTTCTCGAAAGCTGAAAGCCAGCAGCGGGTTGATGCGCTGATCACAGAGCTCGGACTGGCAAAGTGCAAGAACACACTCATCGGCAACATTGGAGCGGGAATTTCAGGCGACGACGGGTAATAGATCGCTTGTTGCCCTCCCCTTTGGACCGAAATACCTGAGAAGCGAAGCCCTACCAGAGGATGAGAATTGCTGATGTGGCCCTTTGTAAAGGTGGTGAGCGGCGGCGCCTGGCCTTCGCCACAGAGCTGTTGACTGAGCCTTCGGTGCTATTTGCTGACGAAGCCACCAGTGGTTTGGATTCTGCCATGGCGTGGCTTGACCTACTGATATCTCTAATCTTTTGGTCCGGTGCACATCTCTCCAGCTGTGCTGAGGTACAACGTGTGCAAGATGCTACGGGACTTCGCACGGGGTGAGGACTCCGGACGGAAGCGCGCAGTCTTCGCGACGATTCACCAGCCGAGTGAAGAAGTGTTCAACTTGTTTGACAAGGCCGAGGGGCGACAGGGGTTGACGTAGTCGATAACTTGGCAGCAGACAGGTGCTTATCCTGGTGGACGGTGCAGTCGTCTATCACGGGGCGCCTTCTGATGCCCTCGCACATTACGAGTCGCTCGGCCTTGCTTGCCCACATGACGAAAGCCCTGCTGACTTCTTTATGCGATGCGTGGCTGTAAATGCGGGCGAAGAGGCCGCACGGGAAGAGGCCCGAGTAAACGTCAAGAAGCTCCAGGCGGCCGTACAACAGGTCGATGCTCCCAAGGTGCCGCGAGACCAATCATCGGACAAGCCTTTGAAGAGCTCGTCGTTGCTTGCATTGGGAGCACTGGTGCAACGGGAGTTCTTGTTGCGCCGCCGAAGCAAGATTCTCTTCAAAGCGGTGATTGCACGAACCCTTCTGATGGCGGTTCTCTTCGGTTCGCTCTATTGGCAAATTCCCAACAATCAGGCTTCCTGGCAATCTATCATGGGCTTGCTTAACATGATGATGATCAACACTTTTATGACTGCCGGCTTCGGTTTGACGCAAGAGCTGCCTCTGGCTCTGCGCCCTGCATTCCGTGAGTCCACTGCCGGCAGCTTGCTGATACAGAAGTTAGCCAAGACTGGCAATATGCAGATCAAGTCAGTTTCCCTAGTAATTATGAGGCGATCCTTCTTCTGGTCTTGCCCATGTTGCCCTCAACGTCTGATCAAACTTCTGTTAAAAATGCGCAACCATTCATGCGGATTCAGTGTAGGTATGAGGCTTGCTTGGAACATACTCAGGGCAGCTGTCATGTATGCACATGTGCCATACCCGCACACTCCATCCGTGCTTGCGTCTTCAGGCACAGGTGAGGTGCCGAGGTCGTGGTGGCCCGGATATCTTCTTGGGCTCTGATTTTACCGGCTGTGCTAGTTTTCCGTTGTGCCCAGGCATGTACTCCATCTCTGCATGGTTTTGGTCCAAAGTGATTGGTGATTTCCCTGTGGATACTGTGGCTCCCTTTGTCCTCTCCTCGGCGGTGTTCCTCATGACAGGGATTGGCAAGACTGGCGAGTCGATTCTTGGCACTGCTTGGCCAGTTTTCTCAACTTTGAAGATAAAGTCGTTTTGTGCAGATGGCCCAACTGCGTCAAATGTGGCTGAACTGGTGGGTGTCGCTGAAGTCAGGTACGTCATGTTTGTGTTGCTCTCGATGCTAGTTTCCCACATCGGCGCTGCATGGGGCTATCTTTGCAGTATGATCGGTGGCAGAATTGAGTATGCTTTCGCGACATTTCTGCTGACAATCTTCCCCTTCCTGACATTCAACGGCACCTGGTTGGCAAAAGCCGGTAGGAGAGTGTTGGAGTGTCGTGAAACTGGTGCAAACTCATGAGAGCATCACTTAGAGTTGAACTGAGCCTCCTTGCTTCAAAGGTTTCTTGATCACCACCGATGACATCCCGGTATACTTCAGGTGGATTGAAGTCATCGGCCCTTTCAAACCGATCTTCTCAGAGCCCCGCAGCTGCACCCGGCGATTCGAGAGTGGCTTCTTTGGGAAAGAGTTCTTGGCGTGCGAGCGAGGTATGCGTTTGCAATCTGGGGCAGCCGTGGTGATCTTGAATGCTTTCCGACTTGTGCTGGCTTCTGCTTAACGAGTTGGGTTCAGCGCTGGGCAAGGCTTCCATGTGTTAGGAGACACAGACGCTTAAGTGGTAGTTACGTGGTAGTCTGGTAGTCGTTATTCACTTGTGGCATCGTCCTTTTCGATCCAGGCCCAAGGCTAAAGCTGCAAGTGTCCTTCAGAGCAGTTGTAAGTTGTGCAGCAAGACTCGGCCTCTGTGACAACCTTTGCAAATGTGGCATGCCGCTTTTCATCACATGTGGTCGCGATCTGAATTGGTGTGATTCGCTTGTGGACTCGATACCAGGACTAGGTTTGCACGAGCTGTGCCGAGATTTTGCTGCATATGTCATGCTGGCTTCTGACCTGTGAGCATGGGAGCGGCAGCACAGGTCCAGCTCCCCCGTGCCTAGCGAACGGAGACGCCGTGCTGTCTTTCTTTGGCTGCACGATTGCAGAGGGTGAACCGAGTCTGCGCAGTAGTTTGCTGCTCGGGGCTCGGATGACATGTCAAGGCTTGCGCCGAGAAGACCAGGCCGCAAACTGGGCGAAGCTTCTACGCAACTTTGTGTTCGTGTCATCGATATCATGCTGTATCTAGGGCCTCTGGGATTCGAGGCTTAGGGGTGGGATCTCAGTGTACGAGTAGCTCGGATTTCATGCCGTGACATTGCCGAGGGTAATCATTGGCTACCTCGTGGGGGCACGATTGCTGGCATGGATGGTTCTGCTGCGGCTTGGAGCTGCAAAGCCTATGCACATGTGGATGCAGTCCAAAAATGCAACAGGTCGCACATCATGAAAAGTATGATGTCAGACGCTCCCCATCTACCACGCATGCAGCCGCTCTTTGTGTCCAAATCGGCTCCCGCCTCAGGCTTCGTGTGGAGATCGCGAACAGGAGGCTTCACAACCACCAGCGGAAGGCGTATAGTAAGATTGTGGCAGCTTCAGCTTCTTCACCGGATGATGCTGATATCTTGAACGAGTCTTGGCTGAGATACGCTAGTTTTATTGTTTGATGGCTCGCCAGCTATTGTAGCTGCAGCGGCTTCGGAAGCGCCTCTCCGTGTCGCGATGCAACCGGTAAGGCGTGAGTCGTTTTGATGCCCGTGCCATCACAGACGGTCTCGCAGCATCCCCACCTGTAGCATTCAACATTCCAAGACTTGCAAGAGCAATTGGGCTTAAAGCTGAGCCCTCTTGGGAATCAGGAGGGTGGTTGCTCGCAAGTGTTTTTGCTCTTGATACGGCTTCCTTGCTTGAAGGAACTCGTAAGATTTTCGAGCTGCAAGGGCTCGTCTGGTGGTTCCTCCATGTCCGAACTTTTCCAGCCATGTTGTAAACATGAGCGATAATCGTTGGGCACTTCCTGGAGCTTGCCCGCATGAATTATGCACGTGGCAGCTCCAGGGTGGATCCGCGCTGCGTTTGGTCTTGGGGGCATGGGCAGAAGCTGACAGTTGACACAACAACAGAACGTTTCAAAGGATGCTTCAGGCATGCTTGGCCCGCTTCCAAGGCTGCTTATCTGCTGATTTGTACAGGATCACGTCTGCTAAAGCTGGCGTGCTGGCCATTTGTGTCAGTGCGACGTCAAGATCCCGTGACAGTGTTCCCCAGCTGCTGGCGGATGTATGGAGCTCGGTGCGAAAAGGTGTTGCAGCAGCACGCGGGATCACTGCACAAGCGCAACTACAAACTCGCAGTAAAAGAGCAACCACAATGGCACAAAAACCTTACATGGACAGGACGGCTATCCGGCAAGACACACGGCTCCCTCTGTGTGGCTGTCTGTCTGATTTGACCTATCTGTGTGTCTCTGTTGCAACCGACCGTTCGTAGTTTCATGCTGCAAGCGCCTGGGACTTCCGGCGGCATCAGGGCTCTTGAGCATAGGAAACCCTTGTGCGTGAGCTGAACTGGGCTCCGCTAGTGTTTTACATCGTGTTAATCTTCCTGATTGCATGACTACCTCGAGGACATCCCGACTCCGACTTTCGGTGTGGCTGCCGGATGGCAAGCAGCAGGTGCTTCTGAAGCGGTTGCAGGGCAAACACGACGAGAAGCGGATGCACAAGGTGGGATCCGCGATCTCAGAGTTTTTCAAGCTGAACCCCAGTTTCGGTCAGTACACCATGATGGAGATGCAGGCCTTGACTGAGCGAGTCATGTTCTTGAGTCATGTTTTTTTCCCGCTGTGCTGGCGCCTGGGCAGAGTCCTCGGTTCTGTGCTCAGTGGGGTGCTGGCATTCATCAAGTCCAGATGTAAAAATGATGGAGATGGCTGGTGCTTCCCGGAGCTCGACGTTGTTGGCAGGCCAACTTGGTGATACCCGACGAGATCATGATCTATTCGAGCGCGCCCAGCAGTCAACAGAGTGCCAGGCGAACTTGTTGCTCAGGGCCTCGGGCGACTACCATGTGGAGCAGGCTGGGGAGCTCCCTTACCAGAATGTGAAGGTGAGCAGTGGAGCTCGCGGGTGGGGCGACCAAGGGCATGCACGCAAGACTCATCGTGAAGAGTGCGCCTTTGGGGAAAACTGCCGGAATGCAGTTCGACAGAGGACCAGCTCAACAACGTCCTACGACCACGACCTTGTCGAGAACTTGGCGGAATGCGAGTTAGCGCAAGCATCGCGGAGGACATGAAAGTTGCGCACGTGCTTCCAGAGCCACAGGGGGAACCTGCAGTGCCAAAGCGGTTCAGGAGCGCGGGTTCTGTGTGGACCAAGAGCACATTAGGGTAGGCGGCCCAAGACGCCGTCTCTGTCGTGAACACCCCAAAACTCGCCACCCGTCGGCGTTCGAGCCCTCTTCCGGCGCAGGTTGCGCAGCCGCAGACAGCGCGGGTTCCCCAGGAGCGCAGCGCGGTACAAAGATAGCCGCCCGCACCGGTGTCACAAAGCGCCCTTCGGAGTTCCTTCAGGAACTCCGCCTCGATGGTGATGCTGTCGTCGTTCAGCAGCAAATCCCCTCCATCACCGGCTATGCGAGTGACTCACATCTTGCCCTCGAACAATATGCCAGGGTAGCCGTTCTTGTGGGTCACGATCCCCTTAAGCCAACCACCAACCCCACCGATCGCAAGCAAGGTACGTACGCTGACGCGGAGTGAGGCCGTCACATTGAGCTTTCTGAGCACCACTTCTGTGCGGCCCAAGGGCAAGGCCAGCAAGCAAAGGCATTTTTGAACCCACAGCATCCGGAATAGAATACGACCAAAGACCGGCACGTATACCGCATCTCCAGGAACGTCACGGGCTCGTTCTCGCTCTCGGTCTGAAAACTCATGAACTTTCGAACTCCTCGAAAATGCAGGGGCCAGCCACGGAGTTTCGCAGGCATGCTAGCCTTGGACAAGGATAGGGAATTCGGGGGCGACTTGTGTGAGAAGATCAGGCTCGGCGCTCGAGCCGATTGCAGGGTCGGGACGGCCTAAAATACAGGCCGGCTTTTTGACCACAGGTGGTTGACAGTTCAAACGGACTGGCGAGCACACTGGCGGCCACTGACACGGCGTTTTCTTCCCGGATAAGGTTCCCGCCGAGGTACTCGTGAAGAGCTGCATGCCGGTTTTCTCAGTTCTTGAAGGCGCATTTTTTGAGAGACTGTCGTTCTATACGACCTTCTTACGAAGGACGGGTCTGGTGAACAGTACACAGGAAAGTCCGTCACCATTCATGTCGGCCCGATCAAGCAGATGGCTGCGGCAGCTTGATCTTGAAGGCGAAGCCCTTAAAGAAGCTTTCAACGTGGGCCGATGCCGACCATCAGTTGGTCCATCTGACGCAAGCCAAGCCTCCTCATCAGGTGAAGGACCCCTGTCGTGTGGCTCCAGGTCTGAAACGCCCTAAACTGGCATCTCTTAGATTAGGTTGTCGAGCGGAAATGCTTGCAAGCACCTGGGACTTCCGCTGACATCAGGGCCCTTTAGCGTAAACAAGACAGGTGTGCAGCCCTCGTGGTTCGGGGGTGAACCCTGCTGATTGCATCTGTGCCTTTCGCTTGTTTTTTTTTTTTTTTTCTATTCTCGCTCTCTCTGTCTCCCCCTCTCCCTCTCCCTCTCCCTCGCCCTTCCCCTCTCCCTCTGACTCTCACACTCCCTGGTACTTGCTAGGCCTACCCGCCAGGCCCCCGACCGGCACCGTAAATTTGGCAGTCCCAGCTTCCATTGACCGTCCTGTCAGTTGAACTGTCTTTTATGTTTCCTTCTACCGAATGCTCATCTATTGCTCATCTCTTGATTTGCACCCGCATTTCTCTTAACTCTGCGGTCGGGCAACCCCAAGGTCTTGCTGTTTGATGGAAGTTTGCAAAAGAATCATGATCAGGCAGCGGCATGTTCAGCATTCGTCGCATCTGTGCCAGAATTGCCACGTGATGCTCCGAGTAGCTGCTTAGTTCTTAGGTGTGCATGCGAGAGGGTGTTCATGTTTTCTTAGCTAGGTGCAGTGAGAAAATTCGCGCACGCATTCAATCCGCTCTTATGTTTCAACTTCGTGTGTGTTTGCACCACCCGTGCCCACAGCTTCAAAGGACAACACAGCATACATCAGATCGCATCAGCAAACACAAGGATGATAACTTCGTATTGCGATGCTTGAGCCTGGTGCCTCTACAACAGGTGGCGTGACCTTTACCCTAGGACCTTCACCCCCCGACCTCTTGCAAGGTGCGCCAGGCTCCGTATCACCCAATGCTGCGGACTCAATGGTTCCCTCATGCCTCAGCTCAAAGCCTGCCGCATCAGGTTGCCACGCTTCCAGTGGATTGCTGAAAACGTGGCCAGTGCATTTGGAAGAGAAGCTCTTCTGTCATTTCCATGTTGTGGCAAGAGTGACTGCTTCCAGCAACTTCAAGCAACGTGCGAGCCAAGGAGGAGGAGAATCAGATCAGAAAAGTCGAAAGTATGGCGCTCGGGTGGCTTATTCTGCACGTGTCTGCCCCAAAATTGCCTTTTGAGTCAGGCTTGATTCAGGAAAACCTGAACTACAAAAAGCTGACCGAGCTTCTCGCATGAGCACTTAATGTTCAATTGTTCGGCCAGCAGCTACAGGTGTTCATTGGCTTTGCGCGCAGGTTCCTCGAAGGAAGGACAAAGCAGCTGCGAACCTAGAGCTCCAGCCAGCGAGGATGTGGAAGAGGAAGGCGTGTCTGCGCGGCGGCCCAAGGCAACACATCTTCTTCTTCTACCAGCGCCCTGATGCCACCAACGAGCACAATGAGATTATAGATGCGGACAAGGAAAGGTTGAACGGCAAGATTCAATTCGACATTGAGGCAACTGCAGCCCCGGTCGCACATGCTGTAAAGCGCCCGGAGGACTGCAAGTTCACCATCACAACAGGCGAGAACGAGCGAATCAAAAGCCTTGCAGCATTGGACTGAGACTTCACACTGTCGTTGCACACATCGGCGATTTTGGTCACCACTTGAGGTGTACTTCCTCAGGAACGTGCCGTCGGAGCCCAAGTGGGGGCCAGGTTCGAGGGGCAGTCGAGCAACTCATCGGATCATAGACTGGGCGCAGGCAAGACCGAGCTATCAAAACAGACGTGTTCTCGGACCAGGATGCCATGCTTCCAGCGGGCTGCCAGGACGTGGTCTTCGCATGTCTTCGCGAAATCCTTGCCAGGAGCTCCTCTTTGGTGAGGTAACCCCGAATCCGCTGGAGAGCCTCAGCCAAACCCTTGGATCGCAGGGCGATCTACAGAACATGTCAGTGTAGCAAGCAGTATTGCAGCTGCTGCAGAGCAGGCACCACCCTCGCGACGGTTTTTCAGCCGATTGCGGCGAGACAGGTGCTTTGTATTGCTCGGGAGAATGACGGCTTTGTGGATCTTGTGCAGGAAGCCAATTGGGGACAATGCGACGAAGAGCAGAAGGCGTTCATCTGATCATGTGGTTCCGTGGGTGCTTCTAGTGAGCATGTGCTTTTTCAGACCGACTTCCTGACGAACTTCGAGAAGTTCACGCGTGAGCCCCAGGACGCCTCAAAGCAGGGTCCACGGCGCAAAGCCGCGATGTACCGTTGGATGTTCTGAATGAAAAATTGCTGCTTCGAGATGCCTCGAGGGTGGAGCTCTCGGAGTCGATCTCGGCGCTGAGCGGCGGCATCGCTGGCGCCTCAAAGCTGCTCCGTCCGTTTCCTCAACTTCGCTTCTGGTAGAAATCCGAACACGGCCTGTCACGAATCACTAGGCCAAGGCCCATGCCCGACAAGCAACATGTTGCTCGGTTGACTAATGCCCCGACAGACATTGGAGAACGATGCCCCCCAAGCTACCAAGCTACGGCGCATGCGACAGGGAGTCGGCCGCAGAAAACGTAGAGGCAGCCGCTTCAGCGGCCTTGACAGTTGCTCGGGGGCCCGCGGGGTCTGGTGGCCTCCAGCTCCGGTTGCCCTCTGCCTCCTCGGAGCGCACAACCGACACCTCAACGTTAGAGGAACTTCCGCAAAGCTTAGAACAACCCAACCCAATCAATGGTGAAGCCCAGGTGAAGCCAATGATTTTGTGTCGGATGTTGCGAGGGTTTTCATCGGGCCAGTGCTCGGTCTCTGACCTCCGAGACCCCTCCTCACAGTTGCTCGGCATCGTAATCCATGCGGACGCTTTTTGATACGGAACATCGCCTTTGCACAGCTTCTCGACCTCGTGCAATTCTTCGACAGTTGCAAAAGCACGACCCAATTTTCACACAACATCCGATGTTGACACAGCCTCCCTTTCATCAGTACCCTTCGCATCATGTTTTGGGTGCTTCTATTCAAGTCGGCATTTTGCCGCATCTATTTCTGAATTCATCTTGGCGTGGACAATCGGCCTTTAGTGCCGCCTGCTTGCTCACTGAAGTGGTGTCAACAGAGTATCTTCCCGTGAGCTGCAGCTGGTTAGAACGCTGGGACCAGTCAGAGTCTTTCATCCAACGAGGTCCTGGGCAACTGGGCAACGATGTTGACTGTTAATTAAACAAATCTTCAAGAAACTGCTTGTGCACCCGTGATGCGCTGCTTACTCTGGTTCCTGAGACAACAAGTCGCTCTGGGATCGAGAAATTCAACAAACCAAATTGGCTATGGAATATTAGCTGCTTTCAACTATTCAATAACTGTACCCTGCAATGCGGGCTTCGTCCTTGCAAGGTAGGAGGGGCAAACTTCCTGACCCACACCTTTCTTGCACCCAAGGTCCTGCAAAAGGACTTGCCTTCGGTCTGGTGCTTGATGCGGGCAGTGCAGCACTTCTGTAAGCAAATGCGACCTGTCCGTCCCCAAGGGCATCTGGCTGGACCCTGCCAGCCCTCAGTACCAGGACAGGCCGAAACTGCATCGAAGCGTCGAGGCTTTGCTGGACGTGTTTCTTTTGCCAACCTGTGTGCTTGGACCAACTGAACAGCTGCTTTAGGCTGGAAGAGCCAGCAATTTCTTTTACGAGTAAGATAAATGCCTTCCCAGACTGTGCAGCAAAACGCAGACTGTGCAGCACAACCTGTTTCTTGCTCAGCTTGATGCTGGCTGCTAGATTCGCGGGATTCCCACATTACCAAGAGGGTGCTTTCCAAAGATAGCAAGACACAAGCATCCACCATTTAGCCGACCGAAGCGGTATGCCGCCGCTGACAAGGCTAGCCTCGTGTGGCTGGACATGTGCTTTACTAGGGTTTCCTCCTGCGTAGGCCAAAGCGGCATCTCGGTCTCTGGTTGCTCGTGGCCGTTGTGGCCAGCTCGGAAGCAAACTCGACAGAGGCGGCGAAGCAAACAAGTCTGATGTGGCTTTGGGCCCCTGCTTTTACCTTTTTTGCTGGTTCGTTGCTTGGCATGTGATGCCATTAGGAGCAGGGCTTCGCAACTACCGCAGAGGCGCCTGAGGCAGATGTTTGCATGAGTTCCTAACGCTTTTCAGTCTTCGCTCGTGTTGGGGGCACACAGGGGCACTGCGACATCGCAGTGACCAGTTCAGGTGGAGACCGCGCAGACGGACGACTCGGTTCCCGCAGCTCCAGACGCCCAGAATGACTCCGGAGACTTGGAGCCTTCTGCGGACTTCGAAGCTTCGCTGCAAGTCTGCATCTCATGCGAGCATGGCGTTCCTTTACTGCAGCGCAGGTTCGCCCGCACAAGTCGGCATGTCAGCTCTGCCCGGTTCGACTCGTCGAAGTGGCCTCCAAGGATGGGTGGGACATGCCATGATCCACTTGCATTAACCACTCAGTGCCTTAGTCTTGATACTTGAGGATGATGAGACTGGAGAAGCCACTTGAATTTCATGAGTTGAACCGCGGAGTCTTTCGCTATATCGAACACCCAGAGGCAGGCGCCGCAGGGCTTCATCTGAGCGAAGCTGGGTTGGAGTACTTGGCTGCTCAACGTCACTCGGTGGAAAGGAACCCCGGTCTAATCATTTCGGTTTTCTGGCTTCTGCGGTAGGACCACCCGGACAAGTTCTGCAATGCTCTGCTTGTTGCCGCGCCAAGTCCAAAGGCCAAACAACCGGGCTGGCTTTTGCACGCTGAGGCTCGCCGCTTTTCCTCGCTGAGGGCTCAATCTGCAGCTGTGGCATCCAGATGTTTTGCCTTAAGCAGCCGCCGGCTGCGCAACCATGCAGGTGCCTGCACTTGGCGTTTACCGTGGTGGGAAGTCTCTGTTGCTTAACCGCTTGATGGGGCTCAAGGCGCACAGATTGCTCATCGACTCGTGCTCCCGCACAGACGTGTGTCATCGCGTGTCTGTGACGACGTCCTCGAAGGCACCTTACGAAGGCGGCTTTGGCGTGGGGCATGGGCAGCAGACGTTCACAAGGCCGGAAGTTCCGGCAGTGCAGCGTGGCTGTGTGATGCATATCGGATCGTTCGGCTTTCGGCTTTCCAGGGGCATTGACATATGTGCTGAGCCTATCTCCTCCGGCGGAACGGTGGCGCTTCGCCACAATATTCTCCCAAACCAAGACTGAGACATGATGTTTAGACATCAGGTATGGATGGACACGGAAGGCCTCTTTTCCTCCGAGGACAGTCTTTCGGTAGTCCGAGTCCGATTTCTTAGCAGTGTCAGGCTGTGAGAGCATGACTTGCGGCTAGAAGTGACCTCGCAGGATGCCCGAAGCTCTTATGGACCCAAGATCTTCAGCTTGGCACTATTATTCTCCTCCGCTCCTTTACTTGACTTATCTATAACAGCAGGTGCATTGTTCTGGTTCTTGTTGTTGTTGTTGGCCCGATCCCCACGTAAACGCTCAACACCGACATGCCGATTCCATCTGTTTTTGCTGTTTCCTCTGCTTTGCGCGCCGATGATGTCGGTGCCACTAGTGTTCCCAGCGCCTCCAAATTCACGGGTTCGGCACCTGCAGGAACTCTCGGTATTTGCAGTACCGAAACATCGATATTTGTGGTGTTTCCTGTGCTTGAAGAGAGCAGCCACAGCCCAACCGGGAATCCGTTCTGAGGAGGGAGCGCACATGCCCAACCATGATGACGTCCATAGTCTCACATCCGTTCTGAGAGGACAGAATCCATGGCTCAACCATGATGATTCGTGCATTCTACTGAAAATTGCATTTCTGTCTTGAAGCAGGGGTTCCTGAAGAGAACACAAGGAAGAGCAGCGGAGACAGTTCGCGAAATCTTTGCAAAAAGTGGCTCTTGTCCCATGCACGCCACGTGAAGCACCTTTTTGAATTGCCGCCGTATCGATTGAAGTTGATATCTAAAACTTTGGATAAAACGAGGAAGTACATGTTCTGACATGCCGCTCGTGCCACACAGGCCATGCAAAGCACACATTAGCATCACCTGGATTTCCGTGCGTGTACGAAGGGATCGAGCGTTGTTGGCTTGTTGTTGGCCGCATCCGAGCACGTCTCCCACGCCTACGTTGACTTTCTCGCTTGCCCACGAAAGCCGAGGCAGTGTTGCTTAACAACCTCAAGGTCCTTGTTTCCTTTTTCGTATTGTGTTTACAAGGAGGACTTCAGATGTTCGTAGGTGCTCAATCAGCAGTTCTTCGTCTTCTTCGAGGAGCAACAGCAGGCTTTGAGACTTCGCTTCTCTGGACTTGCTGTTTCCCACTGCCAGACTCAGCAGGTTGCACGGATACTGCGAGAAGGGCTGCGCTCCGAAGGTCTTCAGAGCCACTCTCTAGCACAGACACACTCACAGCTTCAAGGCAAAATGGCATTTGTACTGAGGTGAGATGCTTCTGGCAGATAAGTTGCCGCTTGCCGGACCCCCAGAGCACGTGTCAGGGCTGTGTTGGCTCACTGCGAGGTTTTTTCCAGTCAAGCATGCGTAGGAGCATTCAGTAATGTTCTTGCCGATGTTTTGCAGGGCAGCACGTTATTCAATGAGCATGTTGAGTCAGGTCTGGGTTCTACAGCAGCCGATCAACTTCACCGCAACTGTGGAGGCTCGTTTTCTTTCCTTGATAGTGGAGACAGAAGACCTCGCCTACTACAGGCTTTTTTCATCCGGTTCGCCTGCAGTAGCAGCATGGAGCCACAAATCTGAAGAACACCTGCTTGTATCAGCAGAGGGATCTGAACTGAAGGTGGTCGCTCGAGTCATGCATCGAAGTAATTGCTGTGTGACCGTCCCTGGCTGTCGCAGCACCCAGCAGGCCAGCCAGCAGCAGCTTGATGCTTTCATTACGATCGAGGACGGACAAAACACGGAGAGAGTCAAGCACATGATGATTCGATCACAGAAGTGCTCAATCGGAAGGACCAGGCCAGGCAGAGGGTTCGTGAAGACTTCCGTCACTCCATCCACGAGGCGCCAAGGGACCATTGGGACGCACGGGACAGATGCGGTACAGGCACCACTAGCAGTTGTTGCGACGCTGTCCATTTTGCTTGGCAGGTGCCGACTGCAACACACGACTCTCGTCAATGGCCGAAGCTGGACCAGGTCCCGGACGAGGAGCTTGATCGGGGCTGCTTCGCCATTTGGGGCTGTGGCTTCGAAACCAGATGCGCCTACTAAGGGCTTCGCCATTCTACACTCCTTTTGGGGTTTCGGGTTTCGTTTCAACACCCATCCCTTTTAGACTCCAGAGTTTCGGCAGTCTCTAACCCGTTGACGCAGGGTTTCGGCAGTGTTTCGTCTTCTCGCATGTTTGTGGGCAGGGTTGAAATTTGGCCACTTTACGCGTTCTTACATCGTCCTGAACTTCGCCACCCTCTTCATGAATGCTCGTGATTCCTCCACCGTGCATTTCTTTTTGGGTCGATGTTTGAGAGTATGACGAGGTGAAATTACACTCCCTACATGGCGCCATCTTGGTTTCGCTACCTTGCGCCATGGCGCCTACAGTCTATTTTGGAGTTCAGGATTTTGCCAGTTTCTCGTGCTCTCGTCTTGGATCGCCGCGTTACAATACTTTCAGGACGTTGGGTTTCGCTTCTCGAAATCTTGTGCGCATAACATGAGTTTGAGGTGAAGGCTTTCGCCACCCTGCACTCCTTGGAGGGTTTGGGGTTCGCCAATTTGCATTCCTTTCTGGGTTCAGGGCTTCGCTACCACATATTCCTGTCCGATTTTTAGCCCTTCCAGGGTTCAGGGCAGAACCATCCTCGTTATGTTTAAGCTCTTGGTCAGATTGTACTGAGGACGTTGCAAGCTCACTCTCCCGATAGAGTTGATGGGTTTGTTGCGTTCCGTGTAGAGTTTTAAGGTTCCGCCGCCATACATTTCTTTGGGGGTCCAGGTTTCTGCCGCCTTACATTCCTTTTGGGATGTCGAGTTTTGCAACTTTGCATTAATTTCAGGGTTTAGGGTTTCGCAGGCTTAAACTCTTTCGAGGGTTTCAGCCACCGGATGGTTGTTGGGGTTTAGGGGTTCGTCACATGATATATCGTTTCGTGTTTTTGGCCTTTGCCACCTAATGCCACCCACTTTTGCAGAATTTTTGAAAACTCAGTTCAATGATTCGGATTCATTATAATATGAGCAGCTGGCAGTTCATGCTTTACCTAAGTAAGTTCAGTGGCAATTTGTTTGATCACTGTGCAATACGTAGGTGCGCGGAAACCTCGCCTGATTCGTCGAGTGCGAGGGACAAAAAGTTCAGTGGCAGAAACAATCTGCTCGTGAGCAATCATGAGCAAATCTTGGAGTTATGGATTTGTGATCTCTTACACTGAAGTATCGGGGTGGGAATTTGTCACCACCCGGAAGTAGTGCGATACGTTTTGCAGGTCATTAAGATCAGCTCCGGTTGTAAGGATCAGCGGCAGTGTGAGTTTCGCCACTCTGAATTTCGTTTAGAAGTGAGGGTCTCGCAAACTTACATTCCTGTAGGAGTTGTTTACGCGTGTCGCCATGCTGTCGTCCGTTTGGGGTTTGTTCCTTGCTACCTTGAATTCTTGTAAGGCTGCAGGTTCCTCTGCCTTATGTATCAGGTCTTGCCACCTTGCATCCCTGTTTTCTTATTTTCGAGTTTCCTCACTCTCCTTTTGGGGTTTAGAGTCTCGGCACTGCATGTTGTATTGGTTCAGTACTTCGCCATTACGCTTTGGTTCAAGGACCTTCGGCTCAAGGTTTGGGCTTGCAGTTCAGGATCAGTCGATCGGAAAATGTCGTCGAAGCAATCGTTGGACGAGAGGGCTGGTCGAATCCTGTTTCGAGTAGTCCCCTGCGCAAGAAGAGTAGACAAGAGCAAGGAGATATAGAGGAGCTGAGGCAGGAAATGCATTTGGTTCTCAACGGTTCGAGACCTGAGTGGGTTACTAGTCTGGAAACACACATCGAGGAACTGTTCAGTCAAGCTATCGGCATCGTGTCTGGCTTCAACCAAGCTCTCATGCGACAGGAAGAGACGCATCGCCTCAACGTATTCATCGATTCGAAAATATTTGGGGACATTGGAGGAGGGTTTGCTTTGCAGGAGAAAGAGTCAGAGGCTCCACAATTTGGTCCAGTTTGCTCCGCGAGACCATGGTTGCCCTTATCGCGCCGTTGAATCCGCAAGACTTGCTGCTGACCTTCCCCAACGACAAGATGACAAGAGAGGTTTGGCACAGGAGCGTTCGGTAGGTAGCAGATGGTAGAAGCGTCTAGAATTCAAACCATTCAGGGTTTACGGTTTTCTCCACCCATCCTTTCTTAGGCTGTTGGGTTTGTCTGCTGAGCGGCACTCCATTTAGGGTTTCGGCATGCCATATTGCTCAACACCGTTCTACAGGGATCCGGTTTTTGAATTCATTATCCTCATCCGTCAGGTCTTTTTCGGGCGTCGGGTTTGCCTACTTGCGGCTACTCTTCGGGTTTCGGGCGTCGCCGCCTGCAACCTTTGTTTTAAGGTTTAAGTGGCTCCCGCATTCAGGTTTATGTGGTGCTCGTTCTTAGGGTCCAGGAAATGCATTTCCAGGACAGATGCGTGCCCCGTAGGACACTTGCCGGTTATTGCCACGTAAAGTTGCCTTTATGCGCTCATGTTATAACCCCCACTCTCCTTACAGTTTGCGTTTCAGACTTGGGCACCCAGCGCCCCTTGTCAGGGTTTCGGGTGTGGCCATTTGGCTTTCGTTTGCACCGTGCAGCATTTCTTTCAGTGGCCGTGGTTGCACTTTTCTGGGCTCCTTTGACAGTTGCGCGTTTCACAGCGCAACGCTTCCCTGCGCGTGGCAACCCATTTACCTCTAATTTCAGGGTGTCACCATCCGAATCCGGCACTACTTCCCGTGAGATTCGTCACCAGCTCCACTTGTCAGGGTTTCGGGTTTCGCCGTTCGGCATCATTTGTCCTTTGAAAAGCACTCGATTTGAGAGTTACGTAGATCCGGGCGGGGGGGTCTCACTATCCACGCATAGGGTAGCTGCACTCTGCATCCCGTTTGATTCCGGGCTTAGGTCCACTATCCGGCAACTTCTCTTACGTAGTTTTTTGGCGCTCGTTTTTCGGGGTTAGGAGATGCAGTACAGGTGCACCATGCTAAGCTTCTTCGCAATGACCTGTTTTTTTAGTGACCTCAGGTTTCTTCACCCGGCACTTTGCCCAGCGCTACCTTACTTACACTTCTTGTGGGGGATTCAGACGGACGTACACACCAAGCAAGCATCAAGCACGAATGTCCGAGTTCCTGGTTTCCAAATCTGATGGGAGAGCGATGCCCGACACCGTTCTACAGGGATCCGATAGTCTTGAAATCACTATCGTCATCGTCATGTCTTTTTCGGGTTTCCGGTTGGCCTACTTCAGGCGTCTTTTTTCGGGCGTCGCCGCATGCACCCTTTGTTTTAGGGTTTGGGCGGTTTGGGTGCCTCCAGCACGCACTGCACAGGTCTTGCGACTTCAGCGTCCCCCAAAATCAAAGTTCTGTTGAGGGTTCAGGTTTATACGGCGGTTGCTCTCAGGGTCGTGGATACCCTGCAAGACTCTTGTCGGTTATTGCCACATGAGCTTGCCTTGATGCGCACAGGTTTCTTTGTCCACCCCGCAAGCTCCTTTTGTGGTTTCCGGTGGCGCCCAGCTGAACCAGTTTGCATTCTCTTTGCAGGTTTCAGGCTTGGCCACCCAACGCCCCTTGTCACGGTTTCGGGTTTGGCCACTTGGCTTTCGCTTGCACCGTGCTACATGCCTTTCAATGATCATGGTTGCACCTTTGACAGCTGCGTGTTTCACTACCCAACATTTTTGTTGCCTAGTTTCTTTTCAGCAACCCATTTACTTTTCGAGGTGTCACCGTCCGACATTATTTTTCGGGCGCAAGGTGTTGCCCGTGTATGCGCGCTCCGGCGGTGAGATTCGCCACCAGGGCTACTTGTCAGGGTTTCGGGTTTCGCCGCCCGGCGCTGTTTGTCCTGTGAACGACAGTCCATTTAGGGTAGCCGGTTTTGGCATCGGCGCTTTACTTGCGTGTTCACAGTATCAAGCACGAATGCCCAAGTTTGTGATTGCCAAATTTTGCGGGAGAACGATGCTCAACACCCTTCAACAAGGGTTTCGAGTTTTCTTGACATCCGACAGGCCAGTTTAACGGGTTGCGGCGGGTCTAGCTATTTCATGTTGCTCTTGAGTTTTCGAGTGTCGCCTTGCAGCCGGCTTAATTTAGGGTTTAGAGCTCGCGGTTCCACTGTCCGGCAAGAACCGACAAGGCACAGGGCTGTTTTATCCGACGCTCGTCGCAATGACCTGTTTTTTCTGTGCACAGGTTTCTTCACCCGGCACTTTTCCCCAGTGCTACGTTACTCACACTCTTTTTGCGGTTTAAGATTGCGCCATGCTCCGCCAGCTTGCACTCCGTTTCCAGATGTCAGACCTGGCCACCTAGTGCCCCTTGAAACTTGCCACGGCTTCGGGTTTCGCAGCTAGGGTTGCGTCAGTGTACACATGCTCCAGCGCCACCTGGCACCGTTCTGGTTTGGTCTACGGTTGTCTGAATTCACCCTTTGTTAGGCTGGTTCTATTTGCTGAACCGCACTCCATTTAGGTTAGCAGGCTTCGGCATGCCACGCATTTCCGGTCCTGCGTGGATTCGGATTCAGACGGACTTGCATTAAGCAAACACCAAGCACGAATGTGTCCGAATCTCTGATTGCCAAATATGATGGGAGAGCGATGCCCGACACCGTTCTACAGGGATCCGATAGTCTTGAAATCACTATCGTCATCGTCATGTCTTTTTCGGGTTTCCGGTTGGCCTACTTCAGGCGTCTTTTTTCGGGCGTCGCCGCATGCACCCTTTGTTTTAGGGTTTGGGCGGTTTGGGTGCCTCCAGCACGCACTGCACAGGTCTTGCGACTTCAGCGTCCCCCAAAATCAAAGTTCTGTTGAGGGTTCAGGTTTATACGGCGGTTGCTTTCAGGGTCGTGGATACCCTGCAAGACTCTTGTCGGTTATTGCCACATGAGCTTGCCTTGATGCGCACAGGTTTCTTTGTCCACCCCGCAAGCTCCTTTTGTGGTTTCCGGTGGCGCCCCGCTGAACCAGTTTGCGTTCTCTTTGCAGGTTTCAGGCTTGGCCACCCAACGCCCCTTGTCAC